AGTTTGGCTATGTATGAATATCTAGTATGACAATACTCACAGAAATGTAAGAAGAGTATTTTAGAAAAGATCCATGGATTTGTCTTGACCAATACTGGTACCACTACGTATAGGACAAATAGAACAGCTGAAAATGTCTTTGCTGCTGAAGTCAACCATGGCACATAAAACCTGAAAAAAACAAACATGTACCAGAAAACATTTAAAATCATTAATTTCATGATTTTGAAAACTCTTCCAATGGCCATAGGGACTTCAATTTTACATTAAAATCCTGGTTCAGTAAAAAATACACAACAACTCCCTATCAATAAAATGTGAGTGTTTCCATGCACTGCTGATGTCTAATAATATGACAATGATGTATGAAATCTACATTGAAGTACAGTAGCCAATATCTGCATTAAAATACAGGTGCTTGATTTAAGTATCTGTAAGCATGGTAAGTGTCCGTTGAGTATTGTTTTACAACCACCTGTGTCTTGTTATATACTTGTATGTACATTGTATACCAAAACACAAGTATATATACCTTAGAGAAGCTCTCTAATTTTTTTCAAAAGGGTTTTTGTTGCAGTGTTCTCTCCAGGCATTACAGCACAGTGGTTCCATGGTGCTATTTAAATAGATTTTGTATGCTTTAATTTTAGGGGAACAGTGCTATGTGTATAGACTGGAGAGAACACTGGGCTGCTGACTTTTACTTTTTGTCATCTGCTTGACCACAATATTTTTTTTCATCAAATTGGGGATCAGAATATTTTTTTTAGGAAAAAACCATAACACCCTCCATCCCCCCCCCCCTCCCCCTTTGAAGTTAAATGGTTGTTCCCTTAAGGGAAGTCACATACATGTATTAGCAGTTCTTTTATTTTCTTGAATCAACAATTTGCTTTAAAGTTTCAGTCCAACCTTCATACAGCATTGTCATGATTGTACAGCACACATTCCACTCAGTGTACATGTATGATCTTATACAAGTACATGTACTGAACCATCTTGGATGGTCTGGATGCATACAGAGAAAATCCTATTGATTAGCAAAAACGTAAAATCACTTTAAACAACCAGATTGATATTTTCTCTGACATCACCCCTCCCCCTCCTTTCCATTCATTTTCTAAAATATGTTGTCCCATTTGGGTCATATCTGTTCTCTGTGTGCATGATGCATCAAGATTAGTTCTTTGAATGTGTAAAAACATCATGTAGTTTTCTTTGAATCAATGACATTACCTAGGTAAGAAGCCAAAAAGGCACTATCAAAATATGATGATGATGATGATGATGGCTAGATGTTAAACGTCCATTGGCAAACCAAATACATATTCAGGCCGAAAACATGTTAATATGATATGATCATGAATCAATTAATTAGATATAAGAAGATGTGTTATGAGTGCCAATGAGACAACTCTTCATCCAAGTCACAATTTGTAAAAGTAAACCATTATAGGTCAAAGTACGGCCTTCAACACGGAGCCTTGGCTCACACCGAACAGCAAGCTATAAAGGGCCCCAAAAATGACTAATTAACCCTGCTTTGTAATTGACTGATAGCATGATCAGGATTTTAGTGTGCTGGTTCACATGAAAACAGTCAGCTGGAACCCCGGACACACTATTCTGGCACTGAACCGACCAGTCTTTGTTCCTACTCCTTAATGCTGCATGCTAAGCGGATAAGCATAAAATATCAATGTTCAAGTCTTTTGTTTAACACAGTCAGGGCTCAAATCAACAACATCCCGCACTTGATGCAAGAACACTACTGCCAGGCCATCATAATTCCAGATTGTTGTCATATTATTAAATAGGCTATGCACCTTTAGAGCTAACAGTGCTTTCTTTCAGCCTCTCTGACTCATCTCGTGATCAGGTAAAAAATATTTAATGAATTAGATGTGTCTGAACCACACGAATGGTCCCGCTCGCTAAAAAAGCTTGAAGCCATATTTAGGAGTGGAAATTTGAGAATGAAAGTCAGTATTTATAACTGTTATTTTCAAGAAATTTTCAAAGTATAAACCCGGTAATTTCGGCTCAAATTAGTGAAAGCTGATGTAAACTCTATCTGTAACTTATCATAGTAACATACTAAAAATCAGCTTTATATATAATTATTGTACATGTTGTGTATTAATATAATGTAATTATTCAGCTCAGCTTTGGGCGCTGTGATCAGCAATAAAACAGTAAGTCAGTATTCTATAATTTCTTTTTGGTGTAACCAGAAGTCCATTACTAGAGGAAGGGTGCAAGCTGTACTATATAGCTGGGCGATCACACTGTCCCCATTATCAGTGGAAAGCTCTATAGGTGGTCCTATCAAATCTCGTTTTTCAACTATGGAATCATGGGTAGAAATGTTATCATCAAACAGATAGCTGTTAATTAGTCTCCTTTAGTGTTTGATTAATTATCAGTTTGTTGAAAATAAAATGAGCCAACTTAGTGCGGTAGTTTTTTATTGCCAATTATTTAAAACTTCATTTTCAACATTTAGAAAATGATATAAAATTTTATAAAAGAATACATTGGAACCATTTATCAATAAATTGCGCATGAGGCAAATGAAAACTATAAAAACTATATCAATTCTGCCATGACTAAAAATGAATTGTCTATTTAAAAGTTATAGTTGTTTTTGTCAAAATATGGTCATAATTGCCTCCATCTTTAAACAGAACGTTGTGTTGACGAATTATGTCTCTGTTTAATATTTACGGCACCAAGGAAGCTATATACCGTGATGTATAAGCTAAAGACAGGCAGTTTCTTCTTTGCTAGTACAGAAATACATCTGTCAAAAATAACCGAATATTTGTTGCTGCAGATGGCTCCAAAACAATTTCCAATTTCAAAAATCTCTTGTTTTTAATCTATTTTAAAGTAAGAGGCATACTTTACTCCTGCCTATCCGTCATTACGCTCTCCCTCACAAGATGTGCTGATTGGCATATGAATGTTAACATAAATTAAACAAAAGTTTTAGTTGAATAAATAGGAGGTTGTTAAGTTAATATTTCTATACTAACAACAGATCCAGTCATTAATGCAACGTCCCTATAGCCCTTTTTATGTCGTTTTATAAACACAAGGCTAGAGACACCTCATGATCAGGCCTGCATATCATATGGATTTATGTTTTGATTTATTAAGTGTTGTTTGCTTAATGTTCGGTGGCAAATATTTCATGCATATCCCATCAAAGAGTAGTGCAAGTGTTATTTAACATGCAGTGAGCCTAACATTCATCCTGAATAGGCGAGGTGCTGGATTTAATGTCCCTCCTCCGACCTGACGTGGCTGCTAATTTATACATCCCACGCTTGTAAGAAAGGGGTTTACTGTGTGAACCGGACAATTCCAGGGATTACCATATTTCTATACCCAACTCAAACCTTGAGATTGATAAAGTACTCGAACAAATTAAATCAAATTGTCCTAAAGTAGACTTTATCATAATTAAGTATAAAGTATACTCACATAAATATTATATTCATTAATTATTTGTTTACAAAGATCGTGATTGCAACTTTTCCTAAAATTTATATGTCAAACACACGTGTTGTTTTTTTAAGCATGTATTTTATCTGATAAATGTTACAATATCCGACTGGAATGACAATCTTTGTCCGTTCCCACCATTATTCAAGGTAGTATTACCGTCAAGATCTTACGCAGGATTGAAGATATTCAAAATTGAAGAAAGGGCATTCTATTAGTGTAAAATTCTCTTTTTATTTTCAAAATTGACGGTAAAATTAGTTAATTTTGCTAAAAATGGATATATCTGCAGAATTTCTGTTCAACTTTAAAAAACAAAAACTCTTATTTCTCAGTAAAACGTAAAATACATACTTAAAATAAATATAATGTTATGTTTTTTTCCTTAATTTTTCAACTCATTCCTAATTTAGTGTTACCTGGTTACTTGTACTGTATATATGGATGCACAATTTTTCCGACCTAACTTTTGAATGGCAAATTTTTCAAACTAACATGACTAAACGTGAATTGTATTAAGAAGTAAGCTTTTTTTTATTCCGACAATAATAACTGTAGTTTTTTAATTGATAATTATAATACCAAAATTTGTATAATCTAACATTAAAACCATTATCATGGCTCATGACACTGTTATAATATGGTATCTAGGATCTGCTATTCATTAACACGTCGATGGTCAAACATTATTTTCAACTGTGTGCTAATTGAGTTATAGGGTGTTTTGCATAAATTGTCTCTACCCAGGATGCATTGCAAAAACTATAGCCATTAATTTTTGTTACTATTAATAGCATTTCAATCACAGTTGGAAGTATGGGGACAGCTTGATCGCCTTACTATATAAAGGGTTGCAAACTTCCTCTAGTAATGGACTTCTGGTGTAACCAAGGCAAAAATCTGCATTTATTTGCAAAAATTGGTTGAAAATGTCACAAATATCCTCAAATTTTGGTCTTATGTAGAATTTCAATCCATTTGAATGATACATTTTCTGAAACCATTGACATTTACCTATCATGAGATCAAAATATAATCATATGCCATGTATGCAATTCACCTCATTTTACATTTTTCCATAGAATTAAACTGAAAAGTCCAAGGGTAAAAAATTTGTTGGAAAATATGACAATAATTTCTGGAAACAGAAAAAGGCCTACGAAACATGCATAAACAATCTTGATGTTCATATATATCGGACTATTTAAATTCTTACATTTTGATAGTTCCAGATTTTGAAACGGGAAATTCGGAAATGATGATAATTTTTTACGATGTCGGAAAAATTAGGAGAATCCGGTTTATAAAGCCTTACACGTTAACGTTGAAAAAATACACTTGAAAAACTAATTACCATACTCCGGCAAACTAAATTACTTTATCAAATTATTTCAATAGAAATAATCAATAAATTACCATAAATCAAACCTTTCAAGTGGAAGTTTGAACAATCGAAGTAAATTGCAGAGTTGGTCCGCATCTGATTTTGCATTTCTTTAAAATGGCGGGAGAAGGAGAATCTGTGGAAATCATAACAGAAACAATCTCACAAAAAGATGAGACAGACATTAGTCATGTAAAAAACAGTGATGAAAATGAAATGATAAACTTAGAAAAGGAATCGATATCAGAAAAAGTAGTGTCAGATAAAATTCCTGCAATCGAAAATGGCTTTCATGATGAAACTGAACCAAATGAAGTTAAAGATAACGAGGACACATTAGAACAAAACTCTAGCACACAAGATCAAAATCAAACTGAACCTTCAGAGACTTGTGAATCTAAGTCACCTAATTCAAATGAACGTTTAATGAAACTGCCATTATCACGCATTAAGGTGATTATGAAAACCGATCCTGATGTTACTTTAGCAAGCCAGGAAGCAGTTGTTGCACTTTGCAAAGCAACAGAGCTTTTTATAGGAGCAATTTCTAAAGATGCAGTTGTAACCACATTAAGCAGTAAACGAAAAACTTTGCAAAGAAAAGACCTTGATGTTGTGCTTGATTCTAGAGATGGTTATGCTTTTTTGGAAGGAACATTAGATTGAACAGTTGTTTATGTACATGTAGAGAATAGGGGAATATAAATAGACTTTATCAAAACATTTTTATTCCATGTAAATGTAACAACTGAATCTGAATAATAATACAAGACAATTGATGTGATTAATGAAAACATGAAAATGTGAGAGCAAACATTTTGTACTTTCTCTAAATATTTTGTGCAGAAATGTAAAAGTATGAAATACTAGAAAAGATGTGGAAGAATAAATAAAGCCCTATTGAAAACTTGCTTCATTTATGTCTTGCCTTAAATCATTTTTAGATTGTTTTAACATGCAGAAAGAATATGCACTGGACATTAAGCAAACAACAATCAATCAGTGTACTTTAAAGCTTAAGTCCATCATGATATCTTTAATATTTATTGTTTAATTTCTATTAATCATGTTAATCTCTCCCACCCAGCACATGTAAACAGGTCTTGCACTTTTATATGTTATTAATTATATAAAAAAAAATGTACTAGTAGTACATACAATGTACATGTTGTAGATTTAAATATTATTTAAACTTCTGAAGTGTAAAGTTAGAAAAATTTCACAGAAACTACAAATGAACATGTACATGTATTGCACAATTGCATATAATATCAAATTGTACTTCTTCTGAAATGCTGAAGAGGCCAAAATAAAATTGTGTGTGTTACTCAATGAAATTTTAGTTTGTAAGAAGTTAAAATAAAGTGAATAATCAATTAAAATAAGATCTTGACTTTTACTTTTTTTTTCAAATCATTTTAGGAACTGCAACTATGGTTTTGTGGATTGTGGTAGCCTTGAGTGCGAGTTTAATTCCCAGCCAAAGACTTGAAAATTGATGTATTTGCTGCTTGTCTGCTTAGCAGGCAGCATTTATGAGTAGGACTAAGAGCAAAGACTAGACAGTTTGGGAGTTGACTTTGTTCTGCCTGTGTACATTTGTTGGTGACATTTCATCTGTTAGACTGTTACCTTGTTATGCTTGTGAACTTCATGTACACCATGTAGTCCATTAAAAAATCTGGTTCAGCATGTTGGTCTAGTCCAAAACCAGGTTCATATTCATATCACATCAATATGTTCATGTGCTATGCATGTAATATTTGCCACTGGATTTAAACACACATTCATCATCAAATCTGTAAAAGTACTGAGAGGAAAAAAAATGATGTCCAAATCCAGATATATATATTTGGCATTAAAGGAAGGATATATATTCAGTGCCAAGTTCATTCTCAGATGGTTTAAAGATGTTGAGATTTTTTGGTGATTACAGGTGTAAAATTTTGTTTTTCATGTCAGCTTTGTCAATCATACTTTCAAAAGAATTTTGAGGTATGCTTCTTTTCATGGAAACTTTTACTAAGTTGAAATATATCTTTGACATCTCTCCTTGTATGGTGATGTTCAGCAAAATATTAACTATCTTGCATATATATAGAATTTTAAGTAACTGCTGACACCCATACATGCTGCTATATATACATGATATATAATGCAGATTTATTTTAAAGAAAATTAAAGTGTCATAAAAAGGATGTTGAGGAATGATTCATCCATTATGTTTTGAAGCCTGAAATCACTGCTTACAAGCAGTCAACAATCAATTATCAAAAAACAAAGCAAGAAACAGAATCTTCTAAATAATTTTTTTTAGCATGAAATCATTCAAATAGAAAGGCTACAAGGGTACTTTAAATTTATTACATTCAGGTGGAAAGTTGAAGAAAAAACACTTTAATAGACAATTTCTACATCATACTGTTACATTTACGACAAAATTTATGTCGATAAAAAACCTCCTGATCTGAGTCCTAATCTCCTGACCAAAATTTCTCAATCTCCTGATCTGAGTTTCACAGTCCATCACATGTATGACTGCTAATGCAGATCCAGGATTTTGAAAAAGGGGGCCCCCAAACTAGGCAACATTTGGAATATTAATTGAACCAGTAAAAAGTCTATTCACCATAAATGAAGCTTCATTAGGGAGGCCCTGGGACAAGGTGTTACAACACAACATAAGAACAATCACTTGAAAAGGGTTTAACTCATCAGATCAATACAAAGCAGAAATACATTGTACATCTAACAAAACACAGGGCAAGGTATTTATGCATCCCTAACAACAAAAAAAGACACCAGGTACATTTCTGAGAGAACTCGCAGTTACTGACAGCTAGTTGAACACCAATAATAACTTACAAAAAAATCATGTATTGAAGACTAAAATTAGCCATGTTTGAAACTTTTGTGACAGATTTCTTTGCAATATTCCATTACAGATATATCATATAATATAATACGTACAATAATTTGCTATATAAAATTATATTAGTGAGTTGTATGGCTTCTGCTAACATGTTTCTTGGATAACAACATGAATATCAATAGAGGAGGTGTAAATGTCAAGGAGATATCAACCTAACAAGACAAAAAACAAAGGCAATCTTGAGTTCAATATAGGTAAATATATCAAGCTCTAAATTACCTAAAGCCTAAAAAAGGAGTGAATAGATTTAACAGAGAATATCAAAGATCTACAATCAATACCAAAGTTAGACAAGACAAAAGATAACAACTTAAAAGGATACCAACTAGGAACAGGCACATTGACATATGCCACACCAATGTTTAACTATTTTTTTTAGATCTCAACCCTGATATCTCAGTCAAAACAGTAATTTGGAATGTATTTCTACAAAAGTAACATATGCACATTTTCGCACAAAATTTTCAAGTGACCCCAACATCATGGTTAATTAAAGAAATTAGTGAGCACGCTCAGATACCCCACGTCCCCACATTGTCATTGGAGAAATAAAATATGTGTAAGAAAAAAAAATTGTATAACAAAAAAAAAATTGAATCATAATTTCCTGTCAATATGCACATCTACATAGTATGCCCTTATTATCTACAAAGTTTCATGAAATTATGTTGTGTGGTTTCAGAGGAGTTGCGATGACAAACTGTTGCAGAAGTACATTGAAGCAAATAAGTTCAAAGGGGCGTAACTCCTAGAAAAAAAATTGAATCATAATTTCCTGTCGATATGCACATCTACATAGTATGTCCTTATTATCTAAAAAGGTTTCATGAAATTCTGTTGTGTGGTATCAGAGGAGTTGCAATGACAAACTGTTGCAGTAGTACATTGAAGCAAATAAGTTCAAAGGGGCGTAACTCCTAGAAAAAAAATTGAACCGTAATTTCCTGTCGATATGCACATCTACATAGTATGTCCTTATTATCTAAAAAGGTTTCATGAAATTCTGTTTTGTGGTATCAGAGGAGTTGCGATGACAAACTGTTGCAGTAGTACATTGAAGCAAATAAGTTCAAAGGGGAGTAACTCCTAGAAAAAAAATTGAACCGTAATTTCCTGTCGATATGCACATCTACAAAGTATGTCCTTATTATCTAAAAAGGTTTCATGAAATTCTGTTGTGTGGTATCAGAGGAGTTGCGATGACAAACTGTTGCAGTAGTACATTGAAGCAAATAAGTTCAAAGGGGCGTACATGTAACTCCTAGAAAAAAAATTGAATCATAATTTCCTGTCAACATGCACATCTACATAGTATGTCCTTATTATCTACAAAGTTTCATGAAATTCTGTTGTGTGGTTTCAGAGGAGTTGCGATGACAAACTGTTGCAGAAGTACATTGAAGCAAATAAGTTCAAAGGGGCGTACATGTAACTCCTAGAAAAAAAATTGAATCATAATTTCCTGTCAATATGCACATCTACATAGTATGTCCTTATTATCTACAAAGTTTCATGAAATTCTGTTATGTGGTTTCAGAGGAGTTGCGATGACAAACTGTTGCAGTAGTACATTGAAGCAAATAAGTTCAAAGGGGCGTAACTCCTAGAAAAAAAATTGAACCATAATTTCCTGTCGATATGCACATCTACATAGTATGTCCTTATTATCTACAAAGTTTCATGAAATTCTGTTGTGTGGTTTCAGAGGAGTTGCAATGACAAACTGTTGCAGTAGTACATTGAAGCAAATAAGTTCAAAGGGGCGTAACTCCTAGAAAAAAAATTGAACCGTAATTTCCTGTCGATATGCACATCTACATAGTATGTCCTTATTATCTAAAAAGGTTTCATGAAATTCTGTTTTGTGGTATCAGAGGAGTTGCGATGACAAACTGTTGCAGTAGTACATTGAAGCAAATAAGTTCAAAGGGGAGTAACTCCTAGAAAAAAAATTGAACCGTAATTTCCTGTCGATATGCACATCTACAAAGTATGTCCTTATTATCTAAAAAGGTTTCATGAAATTCTGTTGTGTGGTATCAGAGGAGTAGCGATGACAAACTGTTGCAGTAGTACATTGAAGCAAATAAGTTCAAAGGGGCGTACATGTAACTCCTAGAAAAAAAATTGAATCATAATTTCCTGTCAACATGCACATCTACATAGTATGTCCTTATTATCTACAAAGTTTCATGAAATTCTGTTGTGTGGTTTCAGAGGAGTTGTGATGACAAACTGTTGCAGTAGTACATTGAAGCAAATAAGTTCAAAGGGGCGTAACTCCTAGAAAAAAAATTGAACCGTAATTTCCTGTCGATATGCACATCTACATAGTATGTCCTTATTATCTAAAAAGGTTTCATGAAATTCTGTTGTGTGGTATCAGAGGAGTTGCGATGACAAACTGTTGCAGTAGTACATTGAAGCAAATAAGTTCAAAGGGACGTAACTCCTAGAAAAAAATTGAACCGTAATTTCCTGTCAATATGTACATCTACATAGTATGTCCTTATTATCTAAAAAGGTTTCATGAAATTCTGTTGTGTGGTATCAGAGGAGTTGCGATGACAAACTGTTGCAGTAGTACATTGAAGCAAATAAGTTCAAAGGGGCGTAACTCCTAGAAAAAAAATTGAATGGTAATTTCCTGTCAATATGCACATCTACATAGTATGTCCTTATTATCTAAAAAGGTTTCATGAAATTCTGTTGTGTGGTATCAGAGGAGTTGCAATGACAAACTGTTGCAGTAGTACATTGAAGCAAATAAGTTCAAAGGGGCGTAACTCCTAGAAAAAAAATTGAATCGCAATTTCCTGTCGATATGCACAACTGCATAGTATGTCCTTATTATCTAAAAAGGTTTCGTGAAATTCTGTTGTGTGGTTTGAGAGGAGTTGCGATGACAAGAAACAGGACTGACGGACGGACGGGTCAAAAACATTATACCCTCCGCAATCCGTTGCGTGGGGTATAACTACCTTAAACCAAAATATTAACCTGATATAGGACAGAAAAACAGACATGTACAAACCAGAAAAATAGACATGTACACACCATAAAAACAGACATGCACACACCAGAAAAACAGACATGCACACACCAGAAAAACAGACATGCACACACCAGAAAAACGTAATGCTCCCTTCTATTGAGGTCAAGCATAAAAAGAGATTTTTTAAAATTTTTATTTAAACTGATTTCTAAGGTGAAGTCAATGTTGTGCCATGAGAAAACACCAAAAAATCTTTGGAATCAAAAAGTAGAATACAGGTAGGTTTAAATGGAATACTAAAAGTTTCATTGAAATCAAATTTGTGGATATTTAAAATAGACTTACTTTTTCAAATAGTTTTTCTCAATGAGCTAAAACATTTGGGTTGTAAAACTTTGAAGGTTCCTTCCAGTCAGGTATATAATGACAAGTATGTATACTATGTCCATTTCATTGTTTCATTGGTTTTCGGTGACCTTTTTTAGCTTATGATCAAAGTGTACTGAGCTATACATATATACATGTATATAAACAGGTCATTGGTTTCACCTTCATCACATGACCTTGACATATTTTAAATGTAAGCGTACAGAATCAAATCATGCTTCAGCGTAAAGTAGTATTGTTGTTAGGCATGTAAGAAATAGACAACTTTGAGTAATTGAATCAATATATTTTTATTTCAAGATTAACAATATTAATCTCTGAATAATGCTAAAAAGACTGGCACTTTGGACAAACTTTTTTCTCTTTACATTATGTTTTACAGTTATATATGTAAAGTTGCATCAAAACCATAATTTCAGTACATTTGTCAGTCTGTAAATCTGCAGTTTGAGCTCATATAGCTCAATTTGGTTATTTAAGCTCAATTGCGATTATCTCCCTTTGATTTTTTTTTAGTGAATTTTTATTTTTCACAGACTTTGCAGACATAATTTGAGTAGTAAGGCTGAATTAATTTGGCTTTATTTTTTTACTTTATCTGTGAAAACAAATTCCAACAAAATTCATGATAAAAGTTCAAGACAGAAATATTCATCTATGTTCCTTTATAATTTCTGTAAAGTTCTTGCACTTCCAAATTTATAGTTTCATAAAAATTTGTCAAAGGGAGATAATTTTTGTATAGCCTAATGAGCTTTTATAGCTATATCAGCCCAAACTGCAGTTGTACAGAATCTGTTTGTATATATAATTCAGTAAACAAAGATTATTAAAACACATACACACAAGGCATTACAAATACAAAATAAAATCTAGGATTCATATGCAAGTAATGTTGATTTCTTAAACATTTGTATCACATTTTATAATAGCTTACAGCAACTATTATGACAATTACAACTTTAATTTTGAATAGTGGTTTTCACATGTCGCAACAATGAATGTACAAAATATAACAAAGTCAATGACTTTTCTAAAAAAAAAAAAATTCAAAAGAAAGAGTTGTTCACAAAAAAAGTCAATGCTTTCATGATAATACTGAATTTCAAAATCTGCTCTTACTGACATGAATTTAATGATGACTTTTAAAGGAGGCCTTAGGGATAACCAGATATGACTGACCAATTTTCTCATACTATTTTCCTATATTCATCTTGATTTGACATACAATAGATTCTGCAATTACTCTTTTATAACATTAAGATATAGGATATGCCAAAACACGAAATGTGTTTTGGCATATCCTATATTTTATATGCTACATATTTTTTTCAGCTGATTCACACAATAAATATGGCTTCCAATAACAAAAAATTCCATTTGGAGCTACTGTGTTTGGAGACCACTTCTGTTGTAATATCATATTACTCAACTACTCTTTTAAAACTACTGGTAGTAACAAAATATGGTGTAATAACCTATCAAATAGGTAAAATATTAATTATATTGATTGATTGATTGATTGGTGTTTTAACACTATTGTGCTATTTCGTGGCAGTCAGTTTTTATTGGTGGAGGAAGCCGGAGTGCCCAGAGAGAACCACTAACCTTCGGTAGGAAAACTGACAATCCTAGTCAATTAAGATTGGAGTTGAGTGCAAATGCCCCATGCGGGATTCGAACTGGCTAGTGATACAGTAGTTGGACTACTTAGACCAATTATTATATCAATTATAACACATTCAACCACTCATTCATTAATACAGTGAGTGGACATATTAAAATATTCTCAAATTTCTTTTTTTTCGTTTATATTTTCTATAAAACCTGATAAGCTTATTATCTTCCCAACTTGTAATCTTCATTTCTACAAAATTAAACCATTTAACAAGGTACTCTATATTATTATTATGATACTATATTGTTCAATAATTTTTTTTTTTTTAATTGGCTACCTTGTCCGCAAATTGAATGTGTAAAAAAGTTCTTGAAACAAATTTCTTGTAAAAATTCTTATTTGCAAATTACTCTGTGATTATTTTGAGAGAAAAAAATTAACAATTTTTTACAAAATATAAACAGAACCTATCTGACTGAATACTATTGTCCACTGCCTGTATCAAGATTCACATATAAACAAGTTTGTAGTAAGAAGTGCATTAGCAGTAAGGAAAGACGTTTTTACAGCATTGACACACATGTCTAACTGATCTATCACAACTGTTCTCTTCATCACTGAAGTGTTGTAATCTTCTTGTAATATCTGATTCATTGGGTTGCCAAGATCCACATTGTCTAAATCTACCAGTTCTGTAGTTTCCAAACAATAAATTCCACAACTGCAAATTACCTCCCCTTCCTCAACTTCCTTTGGAACCCTCCAAAAATGATGGTAAGTACAATCAGTTTTGCCTTCTTCAGATTCCTTTACAACTGTTTTTGCAATATTCTGTAAACTTTTACAAACCACATCTAATGCTGCCAATATTGCAGACTTTGTACAATAAAACTCTTTTATAAGACTTGACATCTCAGACAGCACCTGTGAAAACAAAACATATTTAAAAATACAAATGTATATATTTTTTAATACCTTTAACATATTAATTTTGCCACCCAACAAATAAAATCTTTTATCAATATTTAAAGATTAAATGCTTAATAAATAACTGAATTTGGGTAACCCTTGTAATATATGAGGATACTAGGAGACAATGATAACGTTTAAAATACATTTATGCCACAGTTCATTTTCATGTCCTCTTTCTTTCATGTTTAAGAAGTGTCTATTTCTTTGAATAGCAATGGGATAGAATGTAAAAAATAAATTGAATTTATTTGTAATCGATACAAATCAGGTTGGGTATAAGAACGTATTGACTAGCTATCTAGAAATTTTGCCACAACCCACAAAAATAAATGAATCCACAGCATCTTAGAAAAATTTGAAAGAAATAGTACTTTTGTCCTGAGACTGAAACATGTCTTCATTTCCCAGCATCCTCCTCCAGGAAGTACATATGATAAGAAAGCCAATCTCTCCATGGAATGCAGTGCACTTGAACATACTGCCTGAAAGAAATAATAATTATCTATTTTTAAACTATAAAACAGTTTTCACACACTTGTCAAATCAAAAGCTACCCGGTATACACTGTAAGTGTACAAATAAAACAAAATATAGTGAAAACATGGTTTGCACAATCAATTTTATGCATTGTAAATTTACCCAATCAAATATTGATTTCTATTAAATAGGCAACTATTTAAAAGATGTTTGCCATCTCCTATGTGTTGTGTAAATAACATGTTTTTTTATTTTTTAATCCATATCAAATCAATATCCTGGATAATTTTCTGTTTATAAAAATTGTGTTTAAAAATTCTCTGGTATAACTTTTTCAGGTGTGTGACACAGGTCTTCAGGTTTTTTCAGGAATATGTCTTATTTTCTAAAAACATGTCCACTAATGGGAGAAAGCTTGCTACAATCCATATCTCAGAAATCATACTTTCATTAATACCTTCCTCAATGATAAAATATTCTGAAGATATTAATGGAATGAAAGGAGCTGTGCGAGATACACCAACCTTTAATTCCTGTACCGATTCTTCATGATCACAGGTTAATATTAGTGTTGCTACAGGAGACTCCTGTTTCTTCAGGAAAAGATAACTCTTTTTGTTGATATTTTGATGTTCTATAGAATCTAGGTGTCCAATATCTGATGCTAATACAGTAAAACTTCTCAAAGATTGTGCATCTGGAATAAACATGGAAAGTACTGTTGAAAGTCTTTTAGAATCTCTAGTTCATGCAATCTTAGGGGCTAGTAATTCAAAATCAATGATTCATTACTATAGCATGGAACAAATATTCAGTATAAACAAAAAATTTAGTTTATCGATACATTGTATTGTAATTCTTGTTATGAAGAAAGATGTTGCTGAGGTCTAGATGTCCTTTTTGTTTTTATTTTGTCCTACATCTTTTATCTATATGAGTTTACCCCAAAATTTTTTATGTGGTTCATGTTGTTAAATCTTTAGTTAATTCAAACTACTGTGTATTGTTTTGCAGGCTTTAATTTTGTTTTCCTCCTCTTTTTTTCTTGCCAAAGTGTTGTCTTCATTCCCTAAACATGTGGTTATTTATTCTGCCTTTGCCCTTGATATCTTGCCTAGTTTTGTCTTTTTCCAAAAACATGCAATATTCAACTCATTTGTCTAAAAGATGCTCTCTAATTATTCTATAGCTGTGAAAGGAGATGTATATATATATATATATCCCGATATGGTGTACAAACTTTTGCACCTCATGTTTGTGGTATACCATCTTTTCCACAAGTTTATTGTTTTCTTTTTGGCATTAAATTAATGTTAAGATCCATTTTGTTAGATCTGGTGATCAATTTATTTGGCAATCGCCAATGGCAGTCAGCAGGGTTTAAGAACATCAGTTGTTCGACCTGTTAGTCAAATGCGTTTTGTTAAAATAGACTTTTTCACTTTTTTTTGTATTTTGGAAATTGTTGTTTGTGCTGTATTAAGACCCCTGTACCAAGAAATTTGTTTTACATGCACACGTACAAAAATTGCGGTTTTTATCCAACGCAATCATAGGTTTGAACGTTGTTTTCAATTTAGACGTTTTTATATATTTATATATATATATCAACACAAATAAATCAGAAGAAAACAACAAGGCTGGTAAAGGAAGTAATTATGTGAATGGACGCTTCAGTAAACTATCTACCAACCTGTTAATTTCAGTATGAATGGAATCATCTGTGAGCCAATACGTTCTATGGGTAAAATATCTTGTTTATACAGGTAACTTTTCACTGACGGATGAATAACTTTCTGGCAGAAAATGACCCCAACATTTAATTCTGCACATCTGTCACAAAATTTCATAATTCTACTTAAAACTGTTTTTTCTTCTGACATCTCATTGAAAACTTCATATTCTGCATCCATAATGTCTTCTGTATCACCTGTCATGGAAACAGTTACCACAGCAACACTGATCTGATTGTTAACTTTCCTTACATTATTTACAGCAGTCTTTGGCTGTTGATAACCTTGCAATAGCAACCCTTGATATAATTCAGAATTAGAAACAGGAAGTCCTTCTACTGGAATTATATATATGTTCTCTTCCCAGCTTCCAGATCTTCCCTCGCAAGGGAGATAACTTGCAAATACTTGGACAAGAAGCTTAGAAAAGTTATCTAAATCATACTGATTAAGTTTACACAATGGTTTTCTACCAATAATGCTTTTTATAAAATTAGTCATCTGTTTAAGACTGGAAATATCTATATTAATTTTTGATGAATCAGCATTAACATCTTCAACTATAATCGTTAGAAATCTGTCATATAACTCTGATAAATAAGAATTGGAAACATTAAGATTCATAGACTTTGTCAATAATAAAACCGTTAACATAGAAACAAAATGTCCTCCATCGGTGAAGTGTTGAAGATGACCTTGAACAGCTGTCACAATGAGACGAATGACAGGTTTCGACACTGACAATGACTGTAGCAGACGAGTAGAGGTAGAGGTTATGGTTAGATGACCTCCTACAGAGTTCTGAACCATCTGAATACATCCTTTTCGACATGAAGATGTTATCTTCAGGAGTAAATTCAGGGCATTGACTATATCAGGACTCACAAGGTTCTGTATTTGTAAAGTTCCAGTTGCTGCCTGCTCCATTATTATCTAGAATAAAACATGATCAATATTAAAAATAAAGAGATAAAGGAGAATTAAACCTTTTGAATAAGCAAAGTCTGTTTACAGAAAAATGTTGCATTATCAAATGTTATTCAGCTAGAGATCATATCAAACACACTAATTTTTTTGTTCATGTGCATGCTCAACCCAAACATATTTGTTTTTCGTTTATTGTTTTGTACATAAATCAGGCTGTCAGTTTTCTCTTTTGAATTGTTTTACATCTGTCATTTTGCCTTTAATAGCTTACTATGCTATAGGTCTCGGCCATACAGTGACCTATAGCTGTAAACTTCTACATCCTTTAGTCACATTGGCAATCATACCACATCTTCTTATTTTATATATGTTGGGTCAAGTTTGGTATACATGTTGCTATAAAACTATTAAAAACAAGTCTAAAATAGAAGCCAAACCTGTCATAGGTCAAAACTATAATACAGTTACTAGTTAACTTAAGTAGTTAGAATCTTAGTTTTTAATACTTTTCTGGAATCATGATCTTTCAGCATTGATTAACAGTTGAGACAAAAACAACCAATAGCCATTTATAGGTCAACACAGGGAAAACAAGCATTCTGAGAGTATTGCATGGCAATACATAGTCCCCTACTGGGTAAAAATTCATTATACTGGAACAAAATGCCAACTTGTTCTATAACTTGTCATGGTGTAAACAAAAAGTAAATATCATGTCAATATCTTCAAGCATGACAAAAAACAGTGTGGAAAACTGATTATATGAGTGAAAAAAACATTAGATATGATTAATAGTTCTCTAAAATTAGATATAATGTAATACAGTGTATATCTATTTTCAAATTATAATCAAATATAATTAATAGTTCCAAATATTTTTCTTTCATTTGTCACAAACTAATATAGATTTGTAACTTATCTATAAAATGTCAACAACTTTTATCTACACAATGTAATGTATTGAAATATATACATTAATAAAAATAGATTATTATCTTATTAAAGGATTTCTCTTCATAATTTTTTTAATTATATATATAGCATTCAAAAAATTAGTTTATACTAAATAACAAACAAACCTGCCAAAAAATTCTTCAAATAATTTCACAAAGAATGACTTTTAAAAAATGAGTTATCTCCTTTTGTACAGAAATATGGTTTAACATAGTACTCTAACATTAGATATGGTCCAGAGTTATGGTCCATAACTCTGGACTAAATCATCAGACCGGAACAAAATTCGAACTTGATCTATAACTTGTCATGATAAAACTATATACCAAATATCAAATCAATATCTTCAAGAACGAAGAAAAAAAGTGTGGAAAGCTGATTTGCCGAACTGACGGATGGACAGACGGACAGACAGATGGACAGACAGACGGAGTGCAAACCTAAAGTCCCCTTCGACTTTGTCGATAGGGGACTAATAATATGACCTACTTTACATTAAAAAAATAGGTATTTATTATTATAATATTTTAAAGAAATCTTAGGCTATATTTAAATTAGCAGATGTTATAAGGTGCCCATGACTTGCAAGGAAGAAGATAAAGATATATATACGTGATTCACTACATCAATATGGTAGATTTTGTTATTTCAACCAAGAACAGTCAAACAGGACAGAATGGGTAAATCTTTTACATGGTCTACTGCACCCATCCTATTGAATGAACATGCCATTTTTCTTTTTATTACAATAAGAATTTAACATATTTTACACTAAGAAAATGATTTCAAGGAAAACTGACAATACTAGTCAATTGAGATTGAAATCTACACACCTGCCATGTGTGGGGTTTGAACTCACAAGTGTTGACAGGCTAGTAATACAGTAGATGAACTACTTACACCATTCAGCCACTGAGACCCTCAGTGTTGACAGACTAGTGATAAAGTAGATGATAAACTCAGAGCACATGGCCACCAAGGCCCTCATTGTTGACAGGCTAGTGATAAAGTAGATGATCTACTCAGACCACATGGCCACCAATGCCCTCATTGTTGACAAGCTAGTGATAAAGTAGATGATCTACTCAGACCACATGGCCACCAATGCCCTCATTGTTGACAGGCTAGTGATAAAGTAGATGATCTACTCAGACCACATGGCCACCAAGGCCCTCATTGTTGACAGGCTAGTGATAAAGTAGATGATCTACTCAGACCACATGGCCACCAATGCCCTCATTGTTGACAGGCTAGTGATAAAGTAGATGATCTACTCAGACCACATGGCCACCAAGGCCCTCATTGTTGACAGGCTAGTGATAAAGTAGATGATCTACTCAGACCACATGGCCACCAAGTCCCTCATTGTTGACAGGCTAGTGATATAGTAGATAATCTACTCAGACCACATGGCCACCAATGCCTTCATTGTTGACAGGCTAGTGAAACAATAGATGAACTACTTAGACCACTTTGCCACCAATGCTACGGAGGCCCCACTTTGGGGAAGTGGAAATAACAAAACTTATGTGGGTAATTACCTCATTATTTTTAACTCTCTGATTCTTGTTTCTTTGTTTTATTTATTTTCTTCATTTGCCTAAGCCTTTCTGCACTTCTCTGTTGTCCAGTGCTCAGTTGCATGGACTTATAATAAGCATATGGAAGTGTTAAAATGGAGCCTCCACCAACAATAATAATAAAGGAAAATATTTTGTTCTGATTTGTCCAACTGCTCAGCTTCCAGAATGATGCTGAAATCCTGTAAAATAAAAATAGACTCAGTTTATAACAATAGTTGTCAAATTTACTTGCTTGTCATCTTTTAAAGGGGATATATGTGCAGAATTTACAAAATTTAAAGGAAAAAGTATTAAGACTTAGGAAAAATGATCAACAAAGGAGAAGAATTTTCAGTCATTTGGCAAGTAAAATCAAGAAATCTCATAAACTGAAAATAATCCCAACTCTCAATACACATATGGAAATGGAATTATTGGAATCTAGAGGTGGAACTGTACTTCAATAATCAATTTTTACTTTGTTGAAAAAAAAACAGTGTATGTCCCAGACCAGTAGACAAATGATTATATTGTGTTGTGACATCATGAATAATATGAGGATATAAGGCAGGTGTTACCGTGAAATGACTAAGTCCTTATTATTTTCATAATACCTTTTTGGTTATCAGATATACATTTTGCAGGAAATTGTATGCTTTGCAACATGACAGCCTCTGTCAACAGTGTATTGTGCAAAAGCAAATGTAAAAAAAATATGAACAAATTTGGATTAATTTCACTTCTATCTGTATTCTTTTGGGGAAATGGTCATAATGATTGCCCAGTCCATAAACTGCCATGTGGTCCTCACTCACTAAGGCTCTTTCCCATGAAGTATTTGTTAATTATTCATTACTAATCAACCCATAAAAAGAAAACACCTAGAAATCAAGAAACAATTTTTAACCTACAATGTTTGTACTAGCTAATTCATACTTTTTAAACATTTTCAAAACCTCTGTTTTCTTCTTAATTCACAAGTAATGTCAGCATATTGTACTTTGTTTATCATCCATCGTCTCTTGTAATGAAGTTTAAAGGAGAACCTGAAATTAACAAATTATATGAATCGAAAATTATAAAAATATAATCAATGGATAACTTGAAAGCAATGTAAAAAAAAGTAAGCTAACTGTTTTTAATTAATAGCAACATGTACATGTGTAACAGTGGATATTAGCAACATGTACATGTGTAACAGTGGATAATATATGAAAACAACTCACAATGACTAAACTGAAGCAAAATACTTCAAAATCTGATTTAATCCAAAAACATGATAAATAAATGGGGAATGTGTCCATGGGACACAGATGATGCCCCCTCTTGCATATCATATAAAGTTATAAAGGGACAAAACTGAAGAACGTTAAAAGTAACGCCACCCAAATTTGTACTTGATCTGAGTTTTGTGGTACCGTAATAAGTATTGTGTATAAGTTTCATAACATTTGGTTGAGGCAAACTTAAGTTAGAGAACAGAAACGAAAAATTCAGCAATTTTTTCCATTTGTAAAGGGGCATAACTCTAGAACAGTAAAAGTGATACCACCAAAATTCCATCTTGATCTATATTTTGTGGTAATAAACATTGTGTATAAGTTTCATAACATTTGGTTGAGGCAAACTTAAAAGAACCAATACGAAAAATTCAGCAATTTTTCCATTTGTAAAGGGGCATAACTCTAGAAGTTAAAGTGACACCACCCAAATTCAAACTTGATCTGTGTTTTGTGATAACAAGCATTGTGTATAAGTTTCATAACATATGGTTGAGGCTAACTTAAGTTAGAGAACGAAAACAAAAAATTCAGCAATTTTTCCATTTGTAAAGGGGCATAACTCTAGAACAGTTCAAGTGACGCCACCAAAATTCAAACTTGATCTGTGTTTTGTGGTAATAAGCATTTTTTACAAGTTTCATAACATTTAGTTGAAGCAAACTAAAGTTAGGGAACGGAAACCAACTTTGGGAAGTACGGACGGACGTACAGACGGACAAGGGTAAACTTAATGCCCCCTCCACTACGGCAGGGCCATAATTACCAAAAAATATACCAGGGATTAATCATATTTCTTGTTTTATTAATATTTGTAGATTTTGTGGGTTAATAAGGTACAGTGTACATATACCACAAATTTAAATGTTCAACGAAGTACAAATATTCTATAGGCTTGTGTGCAGACTTTTGCAAAACCATGAAATCAAATATCCACAAAATTATGATTTTTCCTCAATGCACAAAAATTGGTATCAAGGAAATATAAATGAATCCACAGTACATGAATAAAAAAATTCATCGAAGATACCAGGCTTATAATTTTGTATGCCAGATGCACTTTTCGTCTACATGACTCATTAGAGATGCTGGAATAAAAAAAAATTAATAGGCCAAATAAAGTATGAAGTTGACATGGTTAAAAAGCATTAAAGACCCCAAACTACGAAAGATTTTGCCAAATTTCACTGGAGAGTGTCTTTGTGTTAGGGTTAGAGTTAGGGTTAGAATAGGATAGGGTTAGGGTTAGTTTTCAGACATTTCAAATAAAATTTCAATTTTTAAAAGTAACCCTACTCTGACAAAAAAATAGTGTGTTAGATGTTGTCACTTAAAACTGGCAAATGAATTTACATTGTGAATGACATGTGCACAATGAGAAATGTATTCGAACCGTTTTAAGCCCAAATTTAATTGTGCATGAATTTGAATTTGCATTACAATTAAAGGGAAGATGTTGTGCATTATGAGCATGGGTATTCATATTTTCAGAAAACCAGAGTGCTATTTTTATAGTAGTCAGTGACTTCTGGAACATCATGTGTCACTACAAGACTATAAAATTTGGTTGAAATGGGCATGTGAAAGGAGATAAATGTACAATTCAGGATATACATGGTTTTCTTGCAGTTAAAGTTGGCAGACCAAAATTTCCAGATAATTTAAATTAAACTTTCTGGAAAGTCTGGTCCATCAAATTGTATGGAATTTGACATTTTATACTCTCCAGAAGTAAAGTAAAGGGAAATCAGAGAAACCATTTTGAAATTGAAGTAGATCATTGTACACCTCAAATGGAATCGTAACTCATTTTATCATTACTTTTGGATATTTCTGAAAATATTTTGCACCAACAAGCACACAAAAATTTCAATCTATGCAAACATTTCTAGCCGTCAATAAAAAATTTCATGACAAAGTGCTGCCGAAAATTCTCTGTCAAAGTCAGGACGAAAAAAAATGGCTTTAGCATTATAACATCGTAGGAAGGCATCACAGAAATTTAAAAATATCCTTTCAAGATGTCAAAATTATTTGGACTAAATAAGACATGAAAGACCTGTAAATATAGTTTTAAACTTTAACTTTTCACCAATTCGGAAAAGTGCTCCTTCAAAGGAGGGAACTCCTTAAACAAATACAGATATGACTCTTTTCATTTTCAACTCTGTAAAATCACTATCAGATAGAATATCTTAAGTAAATTGTACATGTTTATATGACCCCATATTTTGTCCACTGTACAGACTTGTTACTCATTGGCATAATTGCTACTGTAGACATGTAAGTATCCCGCAATGGTGGTAAGTCGTGCACTTAAGGACATTTTTTATTTTATTTTTCTGTAGACTTAGCTTTGTTTTTTTATTACTGTGTATTGTCAAGCTTGGTTACTCATAATTGTTTCTCAGTCACTGAATATACGATGTTGTTCCATACTGGAGCAGTTGACCTGGTTTGTTTACATTCAAATTCTAATGGGCTTCAAAACCACGTGACTTCTTGAATCGTTATATCCAATCAAATTGCTCTACTGTCAATTAGGTGAATTTTTAGTACAAGGCAATTATATTATTTGTTTGTATGATATTGCTTTGAAATAGTTAGCAATAAATTGGGGGTTTATTCAATAGGAAACCTCATTATAAGCCATGAAATTTGACATCAATGGAATTTTATATGAATATTTACTTATGGTCAAAATATCGATCTCTTTATATTGAATCAAATTTTTTTTTTATGAAAAATATATGTATATTGTTTTTTATTAACCTACTCTATATTCCTGAACAAAAATATGGCATGATTATCGTTTGTTTCCCAAAGTTTTTCTTTCAATTTGGATGGTTTATTTTCGCGGAAAAATCGTGTAAGACGTAAGGTGCTTGCCATTTTTAAATTCTTAAAAATACGATTTGCTTGTCCTGTTTGGTCTGCTAAGGTTGATGATGCTCAATGGAATGTAAACAAAGCAATGGAGGCCGGAAGAGGGGTTTTCTTAAGTTCTGAAATGTTTTTAGGCAATTGGAAGTCAGGTTTGAAATGGCCATTAGAAAATCTGCATTTTTGTACAATATTTAAGAATAATAATGAAAACATATCTTTAGAAATATCATTTTATTTAGAAGTGTAGAAAAAATGTGTTCTGCACTAATTTTTTACGCTTGTATTAGCGTAGTGACGTCAATGCGGAGTTTTCCCGTATGATAAGTACAATAACAAAATCCGAACGAACCAACGTTATGACCGATTATAGACTACGGTAGGATAGTTGAAACTTCTATGCATAAGCAAGCTAGTGGCTTAAAGTGCATTTATTCTAAAAAAAAATGCTTCGGGTAAAGATTTAAAGCACTTCCTACCTAAATTACTATTTTTAACCTTGATGGCCTGATTGCAAATTCTCCAGCTAAATAATTTCTTCAATGTAATATTCAAACTTGTGCTGAAAGTATATTTTTTGTTTATGAAAAGCGCAGAAGTAACTCTAAAATTTGGAATCTTTCTAGAGTTTCCGTTGGAACTGAAGAAAAGTCTGAAAACGATTATTAAGGGGAAATAACTAATTTTACCCGCACTTTTTCGATGGGCAGCGAATTTTTCACAAAGTATTTACAAGTAAAGTATCATTCCAAGTATTTAAATACAGTGTATAATCATGCTTTTGAATATCCGAATTTGAAGATTTTTAATCGTACTACGACATCAAAAATTTCTCGAATTTCCTGATCGCTAGACAAATGTGTGTTGATAATTTGTTGATTATCAACAACAACACATAATGGGTCGATAGACAAAATTATACTGGGGTCCATAGATCCCCATAATTCCCAAAACACCAGAAAAAAATTCAAGAAAATACAAAAAAGAATGGTTGAAGTTAAAACTACTTGTGTTATTTTTTAATTCTACCTGGATTACTGGGGCGATCTTTAAGTTTGAAAACTTCTTTAGCCGCCTCATAATCAAACTTTATAATTAACATATAGTATTAAAATATGAGCTTTGCCCATAGCAAGGATAACTTTTTTCCCATTCTGGTAAACAATGGTATTTTAATTGTAAAAGAGAAGCGAAGAATACCAAAGGGACATTCAAACTCATCAGTCAAAAATAAACCGATAATGCCATGGCTAAAATTGTAGGATACTTATACAAGTGTATTTTATTTACTTGTATAGATAAAAAAAATTGGCTTAGTTATGTCCCTTAGACATTCAGATTTTTTTACTTATAAAAGTGAAAAAGTCATCGTATGTTTTCTTGAAGTCTTAGGACTTCTTTGCTCTGATAGAATTTTAAATTGTCTGTCCTTTGCAGATGTCTTAACTTATCATTTAAGTGTAATTTCATGAACAATGAAAATCTCATTTGTCTGTTATCTTCAGAACACTGCTCATTTACAAGCCCCCAAGGAGCAATTTTTGAAGGCCTTGCGCAAATACTTAAGATCTTTGAGCAATCAGTTTCTTTGTTGAATTAATGAAATGAAACCTTGAACTCTTATAAAAAATTATGAGCTAACCTGGGAAAAATCATTCAAGGCATGTTTTTACATCTCAAAACTTGAGAATTTTTATGGGATTGTACAAGTGATTTTATGAGAAAATTAAGGGGAGATTATTCAAACATTATAATTAACTTATATAAGTATATTTTTTTTTTACTTCTTCAAGTAGATAAAGATTACTTGTACAAGTAGTACCCCTGACTGCCATTGTGTGCTCATGTAACTGTAAAAACCCAATGTTTTAAAAAAGTTGAAATAGCTACTATTTTTGTTCTAAGTAGGATTAAACTTCTTTCCATTCCAGTTTTCCTTGTTAATACAATTTTTAAAGATGTCAACAGATTTTGCACTTACAGTTTCTGTTGACAGCCTTTTCCATTGAATGATCAATGATCCTTTGTGAGATTGAATGAAGATGTTTAGTTGAATTGCACCTTTTCTTATTTAAATTCCAAGTAGAATTATTAGACAACTCAAACATATTTTGCAATTTAATATTGTCTATCCAGTGTAGAGCTTTATACACTTGTAACATATCACATGTATCATAACGATCTCTTCTGTATTCAAGTGTAGGTAGGTCTAAGGTTTTCAATCTTTCTACATAACTTAAATTTCTTATACTAGTTCCAGTTTGGTATCCTGGTGCTGTATCTTTTCATTTTTCCTTAAATATGTCTTTAAATGTACATGCTCTTCATAATTCACCTTATCACTATTTATTTTAAATCTGGATAACTTCTGAAATTCAACAACTTTTTCATGACATCGCAAACTAGTTTAAGCTACATGTATCTGGGGAACTGTTTAAACATTGTAATGTGGATTAAACTTTTCAAAGAAACATGTTGAAACTATAGTTAACACTTCACACAAAGCATTTTTATTACTTTGAATTGTGTTTCAAAAAATAGGATCATAATGCATCAAAATTTTAAAATGTTGACTTTAACTTTTTCCTCCCTCATCTCATTACAGATGACCTTTGTTATTGCGACACATGATCCAAACAGAAAGTTGGCCATTTTCTGGATTGGACAAAATAGCGATAAGGTGCACACATGTATCCTGGTCAGAGTTTAAAGTTGTCAAGAACAGTAACTCTGTATTTGGCTTAATGCAGCATGTTTAGCTAAGAATCACCAAATACTTACATGTATTTTAAAGTCTGGGTTGACATGATCCGGGACCTTACCTTCAACCGCCTGCACGTTATACATTAAAGAAACATGAGACCACCTAGCTGTTTTCATCAACTTGAAACTTGGTACATATGTTCATTATGAATATGATTTTATTTTAAAATACATGCCAAATTTTGAGCTTGACCCAGATTTCATGATTCATTGAAGAGCGAAATGTATCGGATTCAAGTTTTGGTGTAAGATAGTTTGAAATGAATTTGTGGTCACATCAACTTGAAACTTTAAAAGTACGCATGTATATTATGATGAGTTTATTTCAGGTTGGTGAAAGATTGGTCTGCCAAATAGAAATTCATTCTTTGGATGACAAAAAGTCAAACAAAAGATGGCTTCAGCGGAATCAATTAAAGGTGGGTGGATTTGAGTAATTTAGCCTCGCAAAGTACTGTATTACTAAACATGCTAAATGTACATAAATTATCATTCGACAACAAAGAAGTCAAACAGAAGATGTGTCATTATGATTAAAACATTTATATTAGATCTTAACATCTAGTGTTCAATGATAGATAAGCATTGCTCATTCAACATCTAAAGCTCCATTTCTCTTGCACCCTAGATATGAGGGTCTTGATTGGATTTATAGAATAGAGAATTATGAGCAAGAAGATTTATTATAAAGATTATACTAATAAAGGCAAATAAAATCAGAATAAATTAATAATGGTTTGCTTAAAAATAAATAATAGATGAAACTGGTCTGAAAATTTGATGAAGACTTCCCCTCCAGACCCTCATCAGATATATATGCTATAAATCACTTCAGAATAGATTTTATTTTATAGGATATTGAAAAGTTACTAAAAGGTCCATTAAGAGCAAGGATAGAAGAAAAAGAAAAGAATGACATCAGATCACAGAATATTTTAACAGGTAAAGTGGAATGTACAAAAACTTTGGAAGTATGTTGATACAGAACCAAAACTGAAGAATTTATTCTGTTACTGATGATAGTACCAATTAGTGTATTTTGGAAAAATCATATTTTCATGGATATTTGAATTTGTGGTTTTGTTAAACTCTGCATTCAAGCCAATAGAAAATGTGTATTTCATTAAACATTTATATTATTGGTATACCTATACCCTAGAAATCCGGGAAAATTTATTCCACAAATATTTACAAATACACAGTAATATGGAAAGCAATTACCATGAGTCAATTAGCAATAGACCTGATCGCTATTTTGGAAGCTGCAACACTTGACCTGAGAATCTGCGACACTTGAACTATTGGACGTCATACAACAATCACTTTTCCTTTGTGGCGTCAGACATTTTCTATTGTGACATCAAAATTTTACGGGAACCTTTGTGATGTCCAGTAATGGCGGATAAATAGAGATCAGGTGTGTTTAGCACAAGTAGAGTCTATTATACAATTTTTCTTCACTGACATAAGTCATACAGGTTTGCTGAAGCCAAATCAGAAATAATAGTCTTGCTTTAATAATCATATGAATGAATGGACAAAATGTCAATGGGACAGTAAACCGACAATAAAAATAAGTAACAAAGGCATATAAATGTAGCCATATGGTCTTCAATGATGGACAGATGTTCACAATGTTTGAAATATTCTTAAAAGCAATGTGTATTTAACAAATACCTGAAAACAATAGCAAATTTCTAATAGACAAAATACATAAAAAGAATGCTAGGAGAAGGTTTGGTACCATTAAAACGTTTAATCACGCTGCAAATGTTTGCACCTGTCCTAAGTCAGGAATCTGATTACAGTAGTTGTCGTCTGTTTATGTAGTTCATACGTGTTTCTCGTTTCTTGTTTTTATGTAAATTAGACCTTTGGTTTTTCCGTTTGAATGGTTTTACACTAGTAATTTTTGGGGGCCTTTTATAGCTTGCTGTTCAGTGTGAGCCAATGCTCCGTGTTGAAGGCAGTACCTTGACCTATAATGGTTTACTTTTATAAATTGTAACTTGGATGCAGAGTTGTCTCATTGGCACTCATACCACATCTTCCTATATCTATAAAACCATTGGCAACAATCCTGAGTATGAATAAGTCTCTTTGACACATTCCCCATTTCCATTCTCAATTTTATAAATCATGTAATATGTTGCATGGTTGAAATGTTTTGTGATATTCAATTCATCCTTTTTTCTCATTCATTGAAAGAATATATGATACATATAAAAAAACGGAAAATGTATAAAGAAAATAGGCATTTGCTGAGTTATTTCATAGATAATTTTAAAATTAATCTAATAAGGATTTCATTATTTCTCACCCCCCTCATCATATCGCAAAATTTATTCTCTAAAGATTCTTAAAACCCTGCAATAAACATTTAGTTTTTTTAAGGTTATTTGCAAATAAATAAGGACAACCTAGCAAAATATTTTTTTATCCCCAAGAATTTACAAATGATCTGAGCAGCCTTTAGTATGTTGTTTAATGCAACCATTAGTTTTTATATATTTGGAAAATTCAAGATTTGATAAAATGTTTTGCAAAACATTTTTTTCCAAAAAGTAATCAAGAAATTTTTAGGAGTATAGTGAGTAAGAAGAGCAATAAGTCCAATATATTATTGGGCTATACCACTGACTCGCAAAAAGTAAAATAACAAAAATAATGAACTCCAAGGAAAATTCAAATCGGAAAGTCCTTTATCAAATGGCAAAATCAAAAGCTCAAACATATCAAACGAATGGAAAACAACTGTCATATTCCTGACTTGGTACAGGCATTTCCTTATGTAGGAAATGGTGGATTAAACCTGGTTTTATAGCTAGTTAAAACTCTCACTTGTATGACAGTCGCATAAAGTTCCATTATATTGACATCAATTTGTGAACAAAACAAACAGACATAATAGGTAAAAATGTCAAAAATACGGGTACAGCAGTCAACATTGTGTTAAAATCTTAATCACTATAAAAACAAACAAATATGTCAACAAAGAAAAACGAAATGGCATATAGACAAACACATAAGCAACATGCTTGTGTGAAGTGCTTTTTTGATTTTACCACATATATTCATACAATACCTTTATGTTCTAACTTTTATTTATTGAGAGTACAATTATTTCTATTTATAGGAAGTACAGTGCGTCTGGGATATGTGTTTAAAAAGAAATCCCTTCATCATACTTTGTTACTTGGTGAAGAAGAATCAGGAGATGATGGTATTTATTGATACTGTATTTAAAGTATTAGTCCATAATGAAAATCATTCTATTTGAAAAGGGTGGATAACAAAAATGAAACCTACAAATAAATATCCTTATTTTATATGCATTGGGAAGGAAAATTTCATCAGAAGCTAGGTATATGGGAATTCTGCATGAATTTGAATTAATTTCTGTTGGGATTTTGGCCTATTTTTTGGCACCAATTTGTGTTACAGATATGAAGGCTTGTAAATTTTCTTAATTGTTTGGTACAAATCATTCTGCTCATATTACCTGTTCATGGAAGAAAATTGACAAGAAAGTTACAAAAAATTCACTGCAGAGTATGGAGTTATCTACCTTGAAATAATTTTCATTGGACATTCCATATAATTGATGAATTTTGTATGAATACAGCCTAAGCTAGAAATCAAAGTTAGCTTTTGATTTAACTTTGCATTCTGAACTTAATATAAGATAATTGATTGTCAGGCTTTAAACTCATGATTCACCCTTTGCATGAATTGAGTTGAAATTAGATATAAGTCAATGCCTTTTTGTCGAGCCTTCGACTTTTGTCGAAAAAGCAAGACATAGCGATCCTACATTCCGTCGGCGTCAACAAATATTCACTCTGTGGTTAAAGTTTTTGAAATTTTAATAACTTTCTTAAACTATCCTGGATTTCTACTAAACTTGGACAGAAGCTTGTTTATGATCATAAGATAGTATCCAGAAGTAAATTTTGTAAAAAAAAAATTCCTGTTTTTCCGTATTTTACTTATAAATGGACTTAGTTTTTCTGCCAGGAAACATTACATTCACTCTGTGGTTAAAGTTTTTAAAATTGTAATAACTTTCTCAAACTATCCTGGATTTCTACCAAACTTGGACAGAAGCTTGTTTATGATCATAAGATAGTATCCAGAAGTAAATTTAAAAAAAAAATTCCTGTTTTTCCGTATTTTACTTATAAATGGACTTAGTTTTTCTGCCAGGAAACATTACATTCACTCTGTGGTTAAAGTTTTTAAAATTTTAATAACTTTCTCAAACTATCCTGGATTTCTACCAAACTTGGACAGAAGCTTGTTTATGATCATAAGATAGTATCCAGAAGTGAATTTAAAAAAAAAATCCTGTTTTTCCGTATTTTACTTATAAATGGACTTAGTTTTTCTGCCAGGAAACATTACATTCACTCTGTGGTTAAAATTTTTAAAATTATAATAACTTTCTCAAACTATCCTGGATTTCTACCAAACTTCGACAGAAGCTTGTTTATGATCATAAGATAGTATCCAGAAGTGAATTTTTAAAAAAAATCCTGTTTTTCCGTATTTTACTTATAAATGGACTTAGTTTTTCTGCCAGGAAACATTACATTCACTCTGTGGTTAAAGTTTTCAAAATTTTAATAACTTTCTTAAACTATCCTGGATTTGTACCAAACATGGACAGAAGTTTGTTTATGATCAAAAGCTAGTATCGAGAAGGAAATTTTTATTAAAATTTTGTACTTGTTTATCCATATTTTACTTATAGATGGACTTAGTTTTTCTTCCAGTTAACATTACACACAGTCTGCAGTTAAATTTTTTAAAACATTTATTAGATTCATAAACTATCCTGGATTTTTACCAAACTTGGACAGAAGCTTCTTACAATAAAAAAATTGTATCGAGAGGAAATTTTATTAAATTTTTTCCTCGTCTCATTTTTGTTGAGCCTGCGATTAACGGCAAAAGTAGGCGAGACTCTGGGTTCCGCAGAACCCTTACAAATTTTATAAATAAGTAATGAATAAATGGAGATAAAGATTATAAGTCAATAAGTCAGCAACTCAACAATGCAAAAGGAGCAAAAGACATGAAGAATCTGTAAACTTATCACATACTTTGCTCAATTTTAATTGAAAATTGTGCATTCCAAAAATATGGTCATCAGGCTAAAACATTTCAAAACTCAGATTTCTTTCCAAGCTTTATTTTTATAATCAGAAGCTACACTTTTCTCAAGAAATGACACTTTGAAAAATCATAAACTTGTTTTATCATTCAGTCATAAAATTTTCTACACCTCAGGAAAAGTGATAACAAAAATTATATTCCGGATCTGCAGATTTTGTTTATCATTTGTGAAGCAATTTACTTACTGCATCTGGAAACTTTGATTGTCAAATCTTAATGATGTTTACTTTCAGATTTTTACAGTACTGCTCACACTGTGTTCAGAGAGAAAGTAGTTGTGTTTGTCACTTCATTAGAATCTCAAAATACTAAAAGTGTAACAAAGGTAAGGAATTTCCAGTGGTTGATAAAACATGTGTGATATTCATTATAAATGTAAAAGTATGAAGATGTGATATGATTGCCAATTGGAGACAACTCTCCATCTGAGTTAAAATGACATAGGAATTAGCAACTATTGGTAACTGTCTTCAACAATGAGCAAAACCCGTACTGCATAGCTAACTATAGAAGGCCCTTTAAAGACAAATGTAAAACAATTCAAACCAGAGAACTAACGGCCTATCTTATGTACAAAACAATAAACGGAAAACAAATATGATATACAGCAACAAACGACAACCACTGAATTGTAGGGTCCTATATATATTGTTTATGATTATTTAGAAATACTTTATTGAATGTAATTGTAGCTAGCAAAAGTCCTCCATGACTGCAGCCAATCACAATCACAGCCTAATTCAGTCAGCATAAGTAATTACTTTACCAAACAATCATCCACCAGTCAAAATGGTAGTCATGGTAACATCAAACAGAATGGTAACACAGAAAATGGTGTATCTTCCAATGAGGGAAAAAGAAAAGCTATTAAAAAACTGTAGGTTTGATATTCCTAATGGTGAAGGTTATCATTTGGTATTCATGAAAAAAAGTGCACTTTAGGCCTAATATGGCCTTGAAATTCAACTTTATCGTAAAATATCAAAATGGCCATAATTTGGTTCTTAAATGGATCTTTTTCAGAAGGCTTTAACTACTAGGTTAAACATATCTCATTCTAAGCACATTTTCGATATATTGTCAAAAGCGATAATTTTTTTACGCATTTAGCTTCAGGAAACTCTTGGCCCCAACCTAGGATTCAAAATGTTCTGTAGCTAAAAGTTGCCAATGATGAATCCCTAGACACAAAACCTTTCTGGATCAGGGGTGGTGGTCAAAGTAAATTATGTTAAATACTGTTAAAAATTATTGAAAATTTGACCAAAACTAACGTTACAACACAAATAATGCATACCTCAGGGGTCATTTCTTCGTCATTGTAAATGTGATGTGCCAAAAAGAAGTTATTCTAAATTAATAGCTATATCACAACTATTTCTATGTGAAATTTGTAATATTTTGGCCTGATTAAAAAAAATCAAATTCTTAGGGCCAATTTAAACCTTTCGTTTACTCCTTTGATATCAAGCTTTATGTAAGCATGCATTACTGTGTGATGTATTTTCAGATTCCCTATTCATCCTCTTTTGTGTACAGAAACTTAATTATTCTTACACGTAATGGCCATGCTTAAAATTTTGGATGCATTTTTCTCATGAACTCCAAATCAGAGCTTCCTGTAATTTGGTATCAAACTTTATGTGAGCATGTTAAACTATGTGATGCATTTTCAGATTTGTTGCCCATACACTTCCTGTTATTCTTATATATTCTTACACATAATGTCCATGTATGAAATTTTCATCACATTATTCTCAGGAACAGAAAATCAAAGACAGACAAAGTCTTACATTTCTTCAGTCTACAAAACACAAAATTATTATGTCATTGAAAACTGAAGACTGATTAACACGAACCCCACCAATGAATGCGAGACATAGGGATTACAATGCCTCAAAACTTTTTGTATAAAGCTTTATAATTCAGAAAAGATTTTTTTTGTCATGTGAAATACTCACTCACTCAGGCCAACTATAGTTAATTTTTTTTTTATGAAATTTATTCATAATAATTTGAGCAGGCGAGACATTTCAGCATGTGCACTCTTGTATAATGAAAAAAAATGATTTTAAGGATAACTGGGAAGATGTTTTGTTGTACCTTATATTTTACAAGTTTAAGAATATGATAACCAATTTTTAATTACATTTGTAAGGATTAACTATATCAGATAAGTAAGTTCACCTGATGCAGGAACATATATATTGATGGGACTTGACACTACCTAATTATAGCCGATTTTATCGTCGGGTCATAGTAAATTAATGACACGATACCGAAACGGACGTGTAAAATAAGTACTCGCTATTATCTTAATCATTTCTGACAATATCAATAAAATGTCATTCAAACTAAGTAATAAGTGATGCCAGTGTATTGAACTTGTAATCTATTACTTGAAATTTGTCATAATTGCATTCATTTCATCACAGAAGGGTACAGAATGCAAACGGGTAATAAAAAAATGGCACCGATTGCATTCCCAGTAACAGCGAATTTCACAAACCAATATAAAACACTTCACATCAAATAAATCACATTTATATTGGTCATTTTCTATGACAAAATATATCTACTTTACGATAAAACTTGTATTTGTTGAACGTTTGGAATTATGTGGTTAATATATTGAGCAGTTCCGATAGTTTTTCAGTCAAACGCTTCCAAAATCCATAAATCTCGCGAAGTCTCGCAAAGTTTGGGATTTTATCAATTTTATACTGAAAATCCTATTAGATTCATTTCCCGTTAGATATACTGTTCCCAGCCTGATGTAAGTTAAGTATCCTAAACTTTTATTGGTTTAAAGCTAATTTATTTTTATTGGATTTTCTTACTTCAATCAAATGAATTTCATTTATATTTCACCTTTGAAAGGGTACAAGGATATTTATGCACTTGATTAAATATGTCTGTTTTTGCTAACGCCTTGATAGCCAAAGAATAATGGAATTAAATTATAAGAGCTCTTTTCCTAATGCTTGTTATTTAAAGGTTTGATTGACTTGCTTGCTTTGTTTGTATAAATGTTGCTCAAGCATTGCAATTAAGATTGACATCTGCAATCAGTAAATAGGCGGGGCTTCAGCTTGCATATATTGTGCTTTAATGTTATTGGATGTTAAGTATAATGCAGAGTATAATGTATACAAGCTGAAGCCCTGCCTATCTATTGATTGCAAATCTTAATTACAATGCTTGAGCAAACATTTATACAAACAAAGCAAGCAAGTCAACCAAACCTTTAAATTACAAGCATTAGGAAAAGAGCTCTAATGTTAACATCTCTATTGATATAATTGAAATTTAGTTTGTTAATCAGATATATTATGTTCAGGAGAGGTATTTGTAAAAAATACATCTTTGAGAAGAAAATTCCTTCATCTAGAAGTTCGGGTATTGTTACCTTCTCTTAATACATTTATTTACAAATACTCCTTCTGAACTTGATGATGTCTGTTCAGAATACCACTGCAAGCTAAACTTTTTTTAACATATATTTTATGTTTTGCAGTGTTGGAAGGACCAACAAAGCTATTTCTAAGGTCAAGAAAGAAAAGAGAATAGCAAAAATCTTACAGAATTTTAAGAAAATAGAAGGAGAAAATCCAGACTGTGCTTCTAATAATGCCTCTGGGTCCATTGAATCTTACCAGACTGCAAATCTAGTACAAGACAGCAAGCCATCCATTACTGGACTGGGCAGGATAGAACAGGAAACTGTATCAACAAACTGTTCATCCTCTGTTAATTCAGTTAGCTCACTACAGGAAAACAGTAATTCATCATCTGAGTCAGGTCAAAATGACATGTGTATCAATTACAGAGGAACAAAATATGGAGCAAATTATCCTCCATACATAGAATCCTGTCAGTCTGAAATAGATTACATCGATATAGAAATAGACTGTCATTCCACAAAAGTTCCAAAATATAGTCAGCTATCTGTTCCTAGTATTCAAAATGGCTGCGATTCTGGGTCAGATACTTCTTGTATTGAGACAGACTATATTTACTCAAATGTTACTTCTAAATCTAATCAGCAGTGCCAGTCAAACTACAATAAACTCAAAAATAAGGCTACTACCTCAGATACTGTTGACGATGGATTTCCAGATAGTATGCCTGACATTGTATCTGATTGTTCTGTTGATCTCACGGAACCTCCTGAAGATATGCCAGATATAATGAACGAACATTCTTCATTTGAATTCTGCTCAGAAGATGATAATCTTGGTGACAATTATGATCCTGCCGAAAATGATCAGGAAAATGTAATCTCTGATTGCTTAGATATGGCTGATAATCTTCTTCAAGTTCCCATGGTAACCGATAAGAAATTGGAGGAGGATGTGATGTATACAAATTTTAGTCCATGTGCTGATATTTATGACAATGAAGGTGATTGTCAGATAACTGATCTATGTAATTCTGATACAGATGAAAATATTGGGGAAAATGACATTAAGACAGGGGGTAATGTTGTAAATAGTCTGGTTGATCTTGATTATGAGAATAGCCAGCAGATGACAAATCTTAATAATGTTGACATTGAAATTTGCCAGCAAGGAGCAGATCTTACTGATAAAGAGAGTAGCCAGCAAACAACCAATACTATGGAAACAAATGTTTTAAGTGACAATGATTCAAGTGATTCTGATCTGCCTGATTGTGACTTCATAGCATATAAATCTAGAAGACGGACTTCAATCTTTCAAAGGGCAATTGATATTTGTCAACTTATTAAAACTAGCAAGGATAATAGTCATGTGACCACATCACCTGACAAAGATATAACAAAAAATGAAAAAAACAAGAGAAAAAGAAGTAAGCATGTTCTTCCAAGTTTTTCACCTTCTAACTCAGAGGATGAGTTGAATCCATCAAAAGTAGCCAAGACTGATGGTGAGGTGAATGAGTTTAATTTTGATGACAACATGAATGAAGTTAGTGATGAAGAAATGGAATGTTTCATTTTATCAGTTGACAAATCTGAGAATGACATCGACAAGAAGATTGAAAATTCTGGGTAGGTTATTAATGAAGAGTTGAAAATTTTTGCCTATCTTTTCTGGGTAGGTTATTGAAGAGCTGAAGAATTTTGCCTATCATTTCTTAGAAGGTTGTGCCGATCTTTTGAACAATTTTCAGCCAACATTCTTGAAAAGGATTCACACTAATCACTAGCCCCACAGTCAAACACAAAAATGATTATATCTTGATGGACCAGTTATATGAGAATTTTACCTGACCAGATGTCAGATAACATTTTGGGGAAATTTATTTAATGATATATTATGTTTTATTGTCAAGTGAAATTTAGTTTTGCCAAAAAATAATGATGATTACTTTTAAAACCCAAATGTCAAGTGAACCAAATAGCACCTTTGGGAACTCTGATAGTAAAGTTAAGATAAGATACCATTGTTTGAAATATGCCAATGATTAAATTTTTACAGACATTTACTGTTTTTGGTAAATGCTAAGAAAAACTGTCTATATATTCAACAGTAACCAACAGTTTTTTTCTTCAGTCCATTTTAACTACTGTATTTGACATTAATTACTGCTGTTAATTTTGTTGTTGATCTCAGATAATTTAGGACAGATAATGATTAACAATTGCACAGATATCTATGGTCATTACAAATTCAATCAGTCAGATAGATGACAAGGATCACAAAATTTGTAGAAATAGGTAATATGACTTCTGCTGTAAAGACAACCAGAGTAATATTTTAAACTCCTTGTATTGTAGAACCGTGTGTAATTTAACAGAAGACCAGTTAAAGTATTTGGTACTGAAGAATAAGATGTATCTAAAGTCCATCTTTCAGGGAAATGTAAGTATACACACAAATAATAACAAAATTTTAGAAGTCATTAAGGTGTAATACCACCAAATCATAGTACGTCACATCCGGTTGCATACGAAAATAGGTCGAAAAAAAATATTCCCTTGAATTTGACAGTTGCAGGTAATTGATCCTACATTTCATTGCAGTAAAACATTTCTGAGTCATAAACATATATCTTGGGTATTTCAAAGCACCATTATTTCTTTATTTGGGGTTTCTATAGAATATTTTGGAAACTTGAGGTTACATGGTTACTAAAGCTTGTACACAGGTTAAAAAAGGGGGGAAATTTGATTGGTTAACTTCCAGTGACGGTTATTTTCTTATATGCAATGAAATGTTATGTGAAATTTTTTCTATAGTACTGGACAGGATAAATCTTTACTCATGCCAAGTATTTCTTTATTTGAAACAAAGATAAATTCAACACAATTTTTTGAAAAGTGCAAATTTAACAAAGACTAATAGGGGAAAATCAATGGTGGTATTACACCTAATATGGGAAGCTGTACATGCACCTTTGACCTTGTGAGTACTCTCATGTGTTAAAATTTCTTGCTATTTAAGTGAAATATTACAAATAATGAAATATTCTGAGTGGATTGAGTCTCCAAAATACATTTTATGAGAAAATTTCCTTCAAATAGGACTTTACCATGAATATTAGTTGACAGAACAAGCCATACTTAGAGTTTTGGGGAGCTTTTTCTCCTTATTTCTTATATTCTGCTGTACTAGAAAATTTTTCCTAAGAAATACTTTAATAAATATATAGTTTTAAGTAAATGAAATTATTTTTAAAGCAGTAACAACAAATTATTCACCAAAAAAAAAGTTTTTTATGTCCCTCTCTGGAACGCGGCGTAAATTTAATTTTTACGTAAGGACTTATTGAAACCTCCTTGGAGACAGTAAACTTTTATACGGATAGTTCATTCAGCTTGAATACTTCAATTAATCATTTATAATAACATTTCTATCATAAATGAGTGAAAGTTACCCCAAAATTTTTATTTATTGGCCTAAAAAGTAGAAATTTTGAGGAAATGAGAGGTATAAATGGACCAAAAGAGACCTTATAAAGAAGACAAAAGAGGTCCATTAGTAGTATTTATCATCCTAAAGTCATCTTTTGTATCATATTCAACTGTTTGTAGGCAGATGAGATAAATATTTGATCATTTATTGGTCCACACTATATTCTATCATGATGCGGCTTGGTTTGGATTTTTCGAAGAAATTTTGCTCGAATCGCTGTAGATGTCGTCTTACATTATACTAGATTTTTCTCAAACTATTGAACTGATTATGACAAAACTTGACAGGAATGCTTGAAATAACCAGTATTACAAAGGAAAAAAGTCACATTCAGTTTATTTAACAAAAAAGTCTTCTTTAGGTGTAATACCACCAAATCATAGTACGTCACATCCGGTTGCATACGAAAATAGGTCGAAAAAAAATATTCCCTTGAATTTGACAGTTGCAGGTAATTGATCCTACATTTCATTGCAGTAAAACATTTCTGAGTCATAAACATATATCTTGGGTATTTCAAAGCACCATTATTTCTTTATTTGGGGTTTCTATAGAATATTTTGGAAACTTGAGGTTACATGGTTACTAAAGCTTGTACACAGGTTAAAAAAGGGGGGAAATTTGATTGGTTAACTTCCAGTGACGGTTATTTTCTTATATGCAATGAAATGTTATGTGAAATTTTTTCTATAGTACTGGACAGGATAAATCTTTACTCATGCCAAGTATTTCTTTATTTGAAACAAAGATAAATTCAACACAATTTTTTGAAAAGTGCAAATTTAACAAAGACTAATAGGGGAAAATCAATGGTGGTATTACACCTTAATGAATCAATCTTTTAAGTTCAATTTTCATTGGATGGGTATGATAGGTTTTTCTATTTTTATATTGCTGATTCTTCATGTCTCCCAACTTACATCTTTGAATGTTTGCTTTCTCCCTTGCTGTTTCTGCCATCAGTTAATTTTTCAGCCCTTTGTAATATGTTGTTCTTTAAGATTCATGTGGACCATATGGCTAAAATGGCTGCATTTTCACCTCAAAATTTACTCTGAGGACAGACAAAGCTGTCTATCTGGAAAAGTTTTTAGGCATAGCATGCCCTAAATAATTAAAATTTTAAATGCATTTTATGTTGAAGAAAATTAAAAACTTAACTTGATTTTGCTGTGCACTTTTTTTCCTCCCTGTAGAAGATGATAAAATTAACAAACACCTGAGTTTAATTTGATATGATCCACTCAGTGACACAGTTTAAATCACCAATTATTGTCAGGTATCTATTGTCCCTCTATTGTCCATGTCAATCAATACAGTTCACATCAATTATTACCTATGGGGAAGTTCTCAAACCTCTTTCCCAACTTAGTTTATTTTGGCACCTTCTGTAGAAATGAAAAAAAGTGCATTGCAAAATCCAGTTAAGTTTTTAGTTTTCTAAAACATCGAATGCATATGCATTTTATTTATCTAGGGCATGCTTTGCCTTAAACCTTTTCCAGATACACAGGTTTGTCTGTACTCAGAGTAAAATTGGGGCTTAAACACAGCCATTTTAGCCAAAGGGTCCACATCAACCTTAAAGGACCATCATAAATTTTCTTGAAATTTTAACACAATTTACTGAGCAAAGGAAATAATTCCAAGTGGAATAAGATTGTTGTTCATTCAGAGAGGGAAAAAATACCAAAGGGATAGTCAAACCTATTAAGTCGAAAACAAACTGACAGTGCCATGGCAAAAAAACGACAAAAAGACAAACAACAGTACACAGAACACAACATAGAAAACATGACTGAGCAGCTTGAACCCCACTAAAAACAAGGGGGGGGTGATCTCAGGTGCTCTGGAAGGTAAGCAGTTCCTGCTCCACAGGTGGCACCAGTCATGTTGCTAATTTAAGTACAAATCAGGTGATAAGTTTAATTTTGTGTTTTCTCAATAATGAATAAATACATAACAATTGTAATGTTTTAAACGATGCAGTGGACTACTAGATGCAAAAACAAGTATGATTTCATAAAATATTTGTCATTTCCATAGTTAAGAACATGGTTCTTTTCTTTTCAAATTGATGTTTCCAAATGATTAATCATTTTCCACATTGATATAATTTTGAGACAGTCAGTTGCGAAGATTGATTTTCATCGATTTTAGTTGTCATATCAGAGTAATGTATATGATGTTTGGAAATAATTCAAGTTTTATAAGTTTTTAGACAAAACCACACAACCAAATGTCTTGACATTTTAATGCAAACTGACATGCACTAGTTATTACAAGCTAGGAATTATTTCTTGCATATCTTCTATGTTATATCAGAATTTGTGCTTGTTGATACTAAAAACACTTTGCTTATTTGAACATTTTTAAACAGAGATGTCATGGTGAAATATTCAGCCACATCATTCAATAGAGGAGATGCTTTCCTTTGTGTTGTTATACAGGACTTAGTATTTGTATGTGATGGGTAAAACATCTTATGAAGTGTTCCTTATTATCATAGTGAACTATTTTTAAATTTAAAAAAAAAGAATGAAAGAATTTACTGTAATGATTACATCTTTTTTTGTATTTCAGACTGAGTCATGGCGCCATCTTGATTATAAGAAAGGAGGAAGATCAAGAAGTATGTATGCAACACAACAAAAAATAATTCTTGCCAATTATGTATTTGATAGTTAAATCATCAGATACTATTTAAAAGAATAAACCAGCATTTAGATATGACATATAGATGAATTTTAGATGAGTTTTTGAAATCCATACATTTGACCTTTTTTTCAATGAAAAATTTCTGGTTAAAGGTTTGATCAATTATATTCAAGTTCACACTTTTATAAAGACCTTTTGGGAAGACCTATGTTTAAAACCATCTCAGTGGTCTTGTGGGAGGTCATGGTTTGAACCTCTGTTGGGTCAAACCCTAGGAGAGGGGGACTTCAATACTTAATTGATAGGGGTTTCCACAGGGGTTCTGTCACCCCACCCTTTTCATATAATTTAGATTTTAAAAATGTATACCTTTTCATATATTGATACATGATCATTTTTAATTATGAGTCCAAGAGCAGACGAGAATCACATTCAGGCATAATTGAGAAAATATATCACATTTGCTCTGAGCATAGATTTAAGGCTGAGATTCCTTATGCAATGCTTACTTACGGCTAGACTTTCGGCTGTGAAAAAATTACAGGGCTTTTCATATAACAAGTAATGGGAACTTTACTGACCGTATCATATATTTCTGATAGTTTTCCCCACCTATTCACATATTTTCAAGCTGGAAAATATGACCTATTCCAGCGGCAAGTCCTGTCACCTTGTTTATAGGAAGTGCCCCTCCAAGGTCAAAGCGAAGACTCAAATTGTTATTTTGCTACGTCTCTGCTAAGCACACAGCATAAAGATGAAGGGCAAAGACTAGTCAGGTTGGAGTCAGAATAGAGTGTGAGCAGGGTGACATGTCTTCCTGAGGCCTGTTACCTTGTGAACTAGCATGTTAAAAATCTGGCTAAGCATGTTAGTCTAGTACAAAGCAGAGATGAGATTCTTATCTGATCAACATAATCCTTTCCCTAATATGCATTTAATTTAGTTCTGGATGTTAAACAGCCAACCATCATCATCATCATCTACATTTTAAAAAATCAATGAAACAATTTTTAACAATATGGTTATTTATTATTATTTTATTATTTTATGTATTTATAGAGTTGCTAAACCATCAAGTGCACTTGGGATTGTTTACAGAAGAACAACAAGATATCGTCATGGAAACATTAATGTCCATTTTTTGTAAGAAACATCATAAGGTATGAAATTAAAGCATTGAAAAAGAAAAGGCAAGTATTGAACACGGGAGGGGGGCTGGTATTGAAGGTCTATGACGAAAGTTATATTATCATTTTTGACATATTTATCATTAACAGCCCTTTGATATCACAAAAAGTGCACTGTCTGTATGAGAGGAGATGTAGGGTATATTTCATTGAGATAGCAACCCAAGGACCAACATAATTAAACAACATCTCAAGGGCAACATAAGAGTCTAGAATAGTTTTTCTCTATATCAAGTTTGATCAATTTTATAAATTACATTTGTTTGATAGATAAGTTGAATGCATCTATTTTTGATTATGTGTAAAATTCTTTGATTAAATGAAAACACATCTTCAAGAGTCATATAAAAATAGAAGTTTAATTTTATGTTACCTTTGTAAATATTTCTGACGTATATTTCAGTATTTGGAATATGTGATGAAAGTTTTATTACCTGAGATGTTGATCAAGATCCATATGGCAGTTCATAGTGTCAGTCATAGAGAATCAGAGGTCATGATGATGGAGGCTTTGTCGAAACCAGGAGGTGTCTACATTTGAATAGTTCTGTATTGATAAGAAAAAAATGCTTGACCAGTGGTCCTTGCACATATATCTATATTCCTTCCATATTTTTTGGAAAGGTTATAAGACATTTGAAAGCAGAGTAATTTTCTCAAGAATCTTGAAAACTTAAAGGCTTATAGTAATCCTTTGTGCAAATGTGCAATTTAAGAACATAAATTGAAACCTATGTATATGTAGATCATAACTTTAAAAGTAAATCGGTATTTAGATCTGACATAATCAAAGATGAGTAATGATCTCCATCCATATTGCAAATTTACAGTTAAAATTCCTTATTAGAGGTCTTAGTCATTATGTACAAGTTTTTTTTATTACTGTGGATTCATTATTATTCGTTGGATACCAATTTTCGTGGATTTCGTGGGTACAGGGAAACCACGAATTTAAATGTTCAACGAATTGCAAATTTGCTGTGTGATTAACTGTAGACTTTGGGAAAACCACGAAATCCAATATCCACGAAAATGCAAGTTTTTCTCAATCCACGAAAATTGGTACCCACGAAAATAAATGAATCCACAGTATTCTGCAAGAGAAAACCATATTTACCCCAAGGGTAGACGGGGTATAGAAATATGGTCATCCCAAGACTTCTACCTTTCTGACAGTAAAACCCTTACTAAATTGGGCATTACATTTGACTGTGTGGTTGACAGTTGAAATTTATATTTTACAATTTTTTATGGTGGAATCGTCATGTTTCATGGGGTACTAACTTTCATGGATTTTGGAGTATAGGTGAACAATGAATTAAAATAGTCATCAAGATACAATTATTCTGTAATGTAGACAGAATTTGTTAAAACCATAAATTTGAATATCCACAAAAATACCACTTTTCCCTGATCCACTAAAACACATGATCCAGAGTAGATTGTTACAGAATCTTACTCAACAGAAAACATGGTTCCTTATCAATCTTTAAATAGCATCTCTGCCAAATTAGATAGAACTGACCCCTTAATAGAAAGTGAGTGGCCGCTTATGTAAAATAAGACATCAATAATTTCAGTCAGTTTTAAACAAATGCAAAGATTTTTAACTTAGAATGACAAATTTATTATTCCATATTATGACGTGTGACTTTGGGAGGTAATTTTGTAAAAAGCAACTTTATACATATTTGTTATTTTGTTTTTACGGAAGCAAATTGTTTCCTATTTGTTATGTATTTTCATTTTGGTTTAGATTTGAATAACTTTTTCTAGTCATAGATAATCAGGTAGTATACCATTTAAATGGAAATAAACAATTTGAAAACATTTAATTTGTAAATGATTATTTGCATCAAAAAAAGAACTTAAAAGATGGAAAACCATCTGAATAAATGCTGATAATCGGTATAAGTTCAATGAAATAGAAACGAAACAACCAGTTAAACAAAAAGCAATTTAAAGGTTTATCTAAGGTCTTCAACAATAGATAATTTCAAACTCTAAAATTGTGGAGAGATTTAACAAGTTGTGTTCAGATTCAGATTTAACAGAATCTTCAAAAGATCTATCATCAACACCAAATACAACAGCATACAAAACAAACTACTGACACATTAAAACATGTGACAAGGTTAACTGACTAATGGAGTATTCAACCTTTCTACTGTTATGAAGAAATTTAGAGAGAACACTCTATAAAAACCAGTTCAGAAAAACACTTCACCCTATCATGTTAATAACACATTTAACAAAAACATATTTACAGGTTAAATGAAACTACAAAGTCTTGTAGAAATCAATGCTTACTACAAGAATGGATGTGTTATCCTGCTCATCATATCCTCACTTTTAATTAAGCTCTAAGTACTAATTTTGCAAATATAGGATGTAGTATAGATGCATACATGTAGGTACCAAATATTTGTCCTCCCGAAGAACCTGAATTTGTCTTGAAGACATTTTTATGCCCCCGCCATATCAGGGGCATTAAGTGTTACCCTTGTCCGTCCGTCCCATATGTCCCTAAAATTGGTTTCCATTCTCTAACTTTAATTTGCCTCAACCAAATGTTATAAAACGTATACACATTGCTTATTACTGCAAAACACAGATCAAGATCGAAATTGGGTGGCGTCACTTTTACCGTTCATGAGTTATGCCCCCTGACAAACATGAAAATTGCTGAATTTTCGTTTCCGTTCTTTTACTTTAGTTTGCCTCAACCAAATGTTATAAAACTTGTACACATTGCTTATTACCGCAAAACACAGATCAAGATTGAAATTGGGTGGCGTCACTTTTACTGTTCATGAGTTATGCCCCTTTATAAACATAAAAATTGCTTAATTTTTCGTTTCCGTTCTCTTACTTTAGTTTGCCTCAACCCAAATGTTATGAAACTTATACACAATGCTTATAATCTCAAAACGGTCTTTAATTACGTGAATCCTGCATCTGTATGTGGAAGTTGACTCATGCATATTTACAAGCGGGGGCATCTGTGGCCCATAGACACATTCTCCATTTATTTTCATATACTTTGCAGGTCTTTTAAGATTTGACACCACATTTACCTAGATTTTTTTTTCATGCCAGTCATAGCTATAGTAAATTGTATATATGTGGATGACAGGAGAATTAGGGTAAATGTCAATCTACCAAAATAAAACAGCAGTTTATCAAAATAAGATCAATAGTGGTTAACATATACTGATGGACAAGTGCTTCTTAAACAAGTCTTTTTCTTTTTAGCCATGGCGTTGTTTATTTTTCGACTTATGAGTTTGAATGTCCCTTTGGTATCTTTCGCCTCTCTTTTCTAAATTCCACATAGTTTAGACAACGCTATTATTAATTCAGCAGAGATGAGGATCGTGTTCACACAATTATACACCAATGTTTTGATTGGTTAACAACTTCCTAAACAATTGATGTCTAACCAATCACATAAGGTTTTATTTTCTTCTTGTGTACAACATTGAAATTACCAACAATCCTTGAGAATTTGAAACAACAAATTCAGAAAATCAACTAAATGATGTCTGGAACAATCAGAACTTACAAAATAATGAATTTACCATGATGAATAACCATTACTGAACCGGTTCTGTCATAAAAAAATACCAAAATAAAAGAAACTTATAAGGTACTGAGATATTTTAAATAACATTTAAAATATATACAAAATTAAATGTGTAATAAATTAAATGACAACAATGTAAAATATTGCACTGGAATATTATTTGTCTTTTTTTTTTGTCTTGAGCTGATTTCTTCCTGCTCTGGGACAATGATTTCCTGCTATTATTGTATGTACTTCTCATTTTCCCACAAGGACATGGGCAAACTCTGAAAAATAAATTATAACAATCATTCCATACTGTTTTCAGTTGTATAAGGAGAAATTGTTTGCAGGAAAATTCAATTTAGGTGTCCTAATAATTTCTCAGTTCGTTAAGAAAACAAGATGTGAATAATATTGACAACTATTTTCTCTATTCTACTCTGTCCTGTGTTTTGTTGATGAACGCTGTTCCCTCTGAGAAATGTCTCCATTTAAACATCTATAACTTTTTATCAATTATATGCAGAATGCCTAATATTTTTTTTTCCTGCAGTCGAAATTGGAACAATAAATCTGATGCCTTGTATAGAGATATTGCAAAACACTCTTCTTTTTTGTTTTGCTGGCTGTGTTTTACCTTACAAGTCCTATTCATATGATGCTATTTGTCTTGATTGGATGTTTTTTGTGCAGCAGGCTTGTTTCTGGTGTTGTTTGTATGACTGTCTTGTTTAGATGGTGTGTGTGCAGCTGTTTTGTTTTCAGTGTTGTTTGTAGGGCTGCCTTGTTTTGATGTTTGCGCAGCTGTTTTAAATTGTTTTCGGTGTTATATGAAGGGCTGTTTTTTTGTGCAGCTGTCTTGTTTTCAGTATTATTTGAAAGGCTGTTTTGGTATGATGTTGTTTGTATAGCTGTCTTGTTTTGATATTGTTTGTGCAGCTGTCTTGTTCTCCGTGTTGTTTGCAGGGCTTTTTGATGTCGTTTGTACAGGTGGCATGTTATTTGAGGGGCTGCTTTGTTTTGATGTTGTTTATATAGCTGTCTTGTTCTCAGTGTTGCTTGTAGGGCTGTCTTGTTTTCATTGTTGTTTGCAGGAATGTCTTATCTTGATGTTGTTTGTACATGTGGCATGTTTTCAATGTTATTTGAGGGGCTGATTTGTTTTGATGTTGTTTGTAAAGCTGTCATATTGTGTGTGCAGCTGTCTTGTTTTAAGTGTTGTATGTAGGACTGTCTTGGTTTGATGTTGTTTATACAGCTGTCTTGTTCTCAGTGTTTCTTGTAGGGCTGTCTTGATTTCATTGTTTTTTGCAGGGCTGTCTTATTTTGATGTGGTTTGTACAGGTGGCGTGTTATTTGAGGGGCTGCTTTGTTTTGATGTGATTTGTACAGCTGATTTGTTTTGATATTGTGTGTGCAGCTGTCTTGTTTTAAGTGTTGTTTGTAGGACTGTCTTGATTTGATGTTGTTTGTACAGCTGTCTTGTTCTCAGTGTTTCTTGTAGGGCTGTCTTTTTTTCATTGTTTTTTGCAGGGCTGTCTTATTTTGATGTTTGTACAGGTGGCGTGTTATTTGAGGGTCTGCTTTGTTTTGATGTGATTTGTACAGCTGACTTGTTTTGATATTGTGTGTGCAGCTGTCTTGTTTTAAGTGTTGTTTGTTGGACTGTCTTGGTTTGATGTTGTTTGTACAACGGTCTTGTTCTCAGTGTTGCTTGTAGGGCTGTCTTGTTTTCACTGTTTTTTGTCTTATTTTAATGTGATTTGTACAGCTGACTTGTTTTTTTATTGTGTGTGCAGCTGTCTTGTTTTAAGTGTTGTTTTAGGACTGTCTTTATTTGATTTTATTTGTACAGCTGTCTTGTTTTCAGTGCTGTTAGTTTATGTGTATTGTGTATTTCCCCTTGTTCAACTTTCAGCTGTCTCGGCATTGTATGGTCCTAAGATGAGAATTTTATTTTTTCAAGTGTTTTGTTGATTTCTTGAGTTGATTCCTTTCGTTAATATTGTATAGCTGTTCAATCTATCCTACGATCCTTGTTCACTGTTGGGAATTGGTTTGCGTTCATTATTTTGTACATATATTAGGCCGTTAGTTTTCTCGGTTTGAATTGTTTTACATTTGTCATTTCGGGGCCTTTTATAGCTGACTATGCGGTATGGGTTTTGCTCATTGTTGAAGGCCGTAGTATGATGACCTATAGTTGTTAATTTCTGTGTTATTTTGTCTCTTATGGAGAGTTGTATCATTGGCAATCATACCACATCTTCTTATTTTTATAACATGCGAAATCAATAAATTAGACAACAGCCGTTTAGAATGAAAGTAACCTTAATAAATCTAGGGCCTGGGGCAAACGCACTGTCTTCAACAATAGGCATAGGTGATTCTACGATATGTAAAGATCTAAACTTTCCAGGGTCTTACAATTGTGAATAATTCCAAGATCTTCCATAAACTCCTTATTCTACAAATAACAAAAATATCAAAATATGACGTTTTTTGACAAAAGACAACCACTGACTATGTTCTTGACTAGGTATTATCAAATATAACTTGTTTTCCCATGTCTTATCTAAACATTGTCTGTCCTCTACGACTCTACTTGTCTTACCTTCATAATTGATTTGTCCGTCTCCCGTCAGATCTGCCTCTCGTATCATCTCGTCAACCTCCTCATCTCGCAGCCTCTCTCCGAGGTTAGTGAGAACATGTCGGAGCTCTGCCGCACTGATATAACCATTCCCTTCTTTGTCAAATACTCGGAATGCGTCTTTTATTTCATCCTCACTGCTGATATCACGTTGATGGCGTTTAAACATGGCTAGGAATTCTGCATATACTGCAAATCCTGTTCCTAGTAATGTAAATTTGGACTGAGTTATTTCGAAGTATATTTCGAGAATTGTTTCTCCTTTAAATTTATTTACGGTATTACATTTACTCTGGTATAGGATCGCTAAACATTTACTCGCCATAAGCTAGACTTGGGTGCCACTAGTGGAGGAGGAACTGTTTAACCTTTAGGGAGTCCAAGGACTTCAAACGTTTAAAATTATGACATTGATTTTAATGACATGGTCATTGGTTCTTTAAAGATTCCATGTAAGCAGCGGTAGTCCTGGTCTGGATTTCTAACCAACGGGGGATTCATTCCTCTACAAGTTTGCCAGTAGTCACTACACGAACACAGACAAATCGTAAAGAAAAAAAAATTGGTCATAAGTCACGTGCAATAAACTGACAAAATGAGAGCAGATATAAAAGCGCTTTCCATTGTTATATTGGTTACTTCCTATAATATTGAGATCATTGTTAACAGTATGACTATCGTTTTCAATTGACCCTGATTGAAAGAGAGAACATACCTCTGACATCAACCTCCCGAATCATATGTTGTACGTCTTCTTCTGATGGATTAAGGCCTAAAGATCGCACTGCCTGACCAACTTTTTCATTGGGAATTTTTCCTTCGTTTTTCAGATCAAACAATGTGAAGGCTTCACGAACCTCTGAAAAAGGTCATTGCAACTTTGAAAATGTTTACAGACGATGTCATTTTGGACCTAACCTGCATTTTTGAAATATAATGATATAGAAAACATCTTGAAAAAGGAAAAGAAACTGCAACTGATTTCTATACCGCTGTCGAGTTTATTTATGTGATTGGTTGATCGATTACTTATTATCGTCCAGTGGCAAATATTTCATGATCTTCTGGACGAGACAAATGAAGATTCCCTGCTTTTTACTAGACTATCAAGTATAAAAGACAAAATGATTAACTTAAATTGGTAAATAGTTCACAATAGAACTTTACAACTTAGTACTATACATCGTTTCATTGCAACTATCGCTGTTTTAAATTCCTACCTTTTAATTGTTCCTCGGAAAGTTTATCACCCTGAAAAAAATGAAAATTTTGATATACTAATTTTCTATTTACAAAATGTAGAATGATACATTGAAAATTAAATTAAAAAAAACATGACACTGGCATAGGAGTTCGGGGCACGGGTGCAATTGTCCCCTTTCAAAAATTGGGGGGGGGGGGGGGGGGGTGAGACTATGTCACAACGCCAATGCATGATAAAAATTACGGTCTGTATATGTTAATTTAAAGAGCATATATAACAATGTTAATGCTGATTTTTTTTTTTTTTTTTTTTCATGTAATATTTTGGATTGTATACTTTTTTTGAATTTGCAGTGTACAATGAACGTTTTTGTGCTTATTTAACACGTTCAAGGCAAAGTTGACCTTAAGTAGAGTTGGCTATTTTTTAGGTCCTTTTTGATCATATAGATCTTCAACTGTTTCGGTTCTTATACATCATTGACTTTCAAATATTCGCCTAAAAGCGTTCCTGATGAAGGTAAATCCAGATAAGCGCTTCGGACGCATGAAATTTATAACGTGTTGTTTTCAGTTTTTATAGTCGCCCTCGAATTGTACGGTCTTGTCATTAGGTGAGTGTGTTCCAACTGGTCTCCTCGATAGAATGCTATGCATGCTCTTGTACCGAATCTGAATGGTCCGGTGTTGACCACATGGCAATATGACGGGTGTCGCCTATGTATATCAGGATATGTTTACCTTGCTTCCGGACCATTGTCGAATTTCTAGCAATATTATATTTTTTTTTTTATTAAAATTCTTAACAGATTTCCAAATCATTTATAAACGCCTGTATATAGCCCATGATAACCGCAAATGGCTCGGATGTTAGCACATTTTGAGTCAAATTTATAACACTGTACAAAAGATGTATATGAAGGACATTCTTAACCAAAAACAAAATTTCTATTAAAAGTAAAGCTATAGGATCATAATATAACGCTGAATAATATTTTTATTTTATAGAAAATATGAAAAAAATGCCGAATACGATTTAAGTATATGATATAGATTTTTTAATCTTCAAATTTCAGTAGGAATTCACAACAGTTGTTATTCCTGTGAGTGAAACAAATACATGAGAAAAATGCCCTTATATCATCTTCTCGTTCGGGTATTATTCTATGGATTTTGATTTTTCTATTCTACATTTGTTCAACTTCTTCTACTTCACTTTTATTTATATCTATCCTGCAAAATTAATCGAATATAGATCGAAACATAAAATTTATTTTGTACTCGCTACGAAACACCTCCACCTGATAAAAGCCCTGCGAGCCTCGCTTTTCTACGGCTCTGTTTCTAAAGCTCGTCAAATAAATTTATATTTTCCGACACTGTACGAATATTGTGTGTATAACAATATCAGGTTTATCAAGAAAAATTTAAGATATAACAGATACTGAATGTTGACATAACAATCATATATGTATGTAAGTGATAAATACCAATATTTTTTAATATAAAATTTTTATCAGGTGAATAGGTGTGCTATGATAGGAACCAAATATTTAATTTCAGGACAGTTTCTAATAAACCCCTGATCGTTAAACATTCCTACAGCTATCATAAAATTACTTCTACCCCTTCCCGTGTGGTGGACTTACTTGATTCTTTTCAAACTATAGCATTCGAGTTTTTACAAGAAATTTATGAGTCATGTATTGTGCTATTTTTGATTGCATCATGTGGCTCTCCTCGCGTTACGACTAGCGTTTAAGTTCATTCCGTAGATTTGCTTGTAACCTAACTATCTTATACACATGGGTGGATCTGACCCCCTGCGTCCTTTATTACAGAAATTTGCTTTGTGGTACCTTTTCTGATATTTTACTTTCCCTTTGTTTTTAGTAGACTTCAAGCCGCACCCTTATTTTTCTCTTTTTGAAAATCTTGGTTCCACCGCTTGTTTAAAAAAGTAAAAATATACATACCATGACACCTGGTCTGTCAAGATATTTGATCCTGAAATGTACCGAAACACACCGAGTAAATTCCACACAATTAAAATGTGCATTTTGATATTCATATCAGGCAATGATTTAGTTAAACAATTTATACCCAAACTTATACATGAGTTAACTAATTTTGTTACACGATTTGTCAATTCTATTTTGATGACCAGTTGTTGTAATCAACATTGCTCAGGTAAACCTTAGAAGGGCTTTTCTAACAATTAAATGACTTAATTAATGGTTTAATGCAAATATGAATTGAGCTGCTGGACCAGTGTGCAATAAATTTTAGATAACATATGTATAAAATTGAGTGTAAACGATTGAAGCCATGTAAAATTACAGATAGCTTAAATATATTTAATATTGTCTTTGTTTTTACTTTCCGTAGTACTTTAATGATTCTTATAAAATAATTAATTGGTATTAATATTTGAATTGTTTGAATTGTGAGTTTATATAGTGATAGTTATATTATGTACGTGTTGTACAACAATGAATAATGAAAAAAGAAATCCTTACCTGTTCGGCTTAGAGCAGTGCGTTATCCATTAGTATCAGTGACAGTGATAACCCGAGACAGATAGACATGGTCAAAGTTTATTAACTGATACAGGAAAGGGATGTAAAATTGTAATATGTTAAACAGTTTTATCAAGAGTATTTTCTTCTCCGTATTTTGTTTATTCAGTTGATTATTACGTAAAGAAACACATCTGATACTCATCAAAAGATAATGTTTTTGCTATGTGTTGGAGACACGGTGTAGAAAAGGTGTACGTGTAACAATCGTTAATTTGAAGACAGATTGTCCTTTGAAAATGTGTCTAAATCTAGTCACAGTTGCTTGGGGGGAAATGAACTCTCTGTTTTCTTTTCCCCTGTTGTATTTAAGACTGTTTTCTTATTTAATGTTCCGGATAAAATCTTAATGATTAAAGTCCCCAGTTAAGATTCCATATTTCAATATTACGTACTTTCAAATTTATATTCCATTATTAAATCCAAGGATTTAATTGGTGCTGATCGAGAGGTTACTATATATATTCAGGGATTTGAATAATAATTAAGAGATATTTTGATACTTGCAGGCTACTTTAACATGTATAAGAGTCAATTCTAATTATGACGTCCAAGTTCTTTCGCTTCGTAAACAAAGCCATGTTCTAACGCCAATATAGAAAATGGGCTGCGCGTGATTGGCGTAATATCTAAATTGCAACATCATTTGTATTTTGAACAACGCGTGAGATCAAAATGGACATTGTGTTTCCACTAGGAAGTTAAATAAAATCATTCTAAAATTAAGTTTACATGTATCTGTTCATTTTTTTATCGTGAGCGGTTGATTATCTTTGACGTTCTGACTTCATTAAAATGGCAAGATGACTGCCTTTTAAACGTGTACTATAGGTCCGCTTTGAAGTACAGAATATCTTAATATTGGCTTATAATCGGAATAATATTCGGCTAATATGCATGTCATTATCTGTGCTCATTTTAACATGGGTACATGAAAGAATTATTTCTTTTACAAATCCCGACAATAAGAGATGTTTGTATACCTTGCCGACTCTAAATAAAGCTTATTTATTATTTATTTATTTATTAAGAGACCGTTGTTTCTGTATCTTTATTTAACTTGTTTCTCGGTTCATAATGAAACTTCATTTCGTCCAATCATGGTTAAGTTTACAAAATCGACGGCAGGTGCTCGATGGCGGTCTCCGATGTAAACAAAACATGCCTGAACTGATCGATCGTCAATAATCTTTTGTCCGTAGCATCCTAAAAAACAGTGCCCCAACTAAATATATTAAATTATGAATCTTAAATTGAAAAAAAAAATTAGCTGTAACAACTTTGAACTTGAGTCAGTGTAAAAAATAAATAAGATACGGACTTTCAAATTTAAAATGTTTTATTGCCTTGGATATAAATATCTAATTAAAATATAGATATAATTAATGACATTTCTCTTAAATCTGTAATTAGATTCATTAATTAGAGAGTAAGGCATAAATTGTTTATTTAATTAATCCTATTGATTGTTAATTAAATTGGTGGCAATTATCTGATCGGTGTTCATTGAATGAACTGCCACCATACGTGAACAAGAACGGGCATGCAACATTAAACAATTTGTAGTGACGAGACAGTGTACAAATTTGAAGGTGGGATTTAGAATATTATTATCTATGAACAAATACTAATTTTGGGATGTAGTTGACAAGTAAATTGCATTTAGCTGCAGTTTGGATACAATTTGCTGTTTTATGGTGCTTAATGTGCAGAAAATATATAGGTAAGGAGAAGAAAATAAAGTAGGACACCATTGCCTTTGATGATGTACATTTATATCATGAATGTTGTATGCCAAGCATAGAAATATATTTTAGATTTTAAACTACAACATAAACACAAATGAATACTTTAATTTTGATAATGGTTATCCAGGAATGGCTAGCATGGAATGTAAACAAAAGAATGTTACCATGCATTGACCCATTGTCAGTATGGCTTACTATGTTTTAGTAATAGTTTTGAAATGAGAAATTGGTTTTCTGCCTGAAATTATCTTAAAATACAGAATATGCAAATCATTACAGTAAAAAATTATTTGAAAATATTGGAGATTTTTATATACATGTAATGGTAAACATATAAATGTTTGTTGACCTGTTTAATTTTCTTATGTAGTTGATACATGTTTTTCCTATGAAATTTGTTATAGTCATTTGGCAAAGATGGGAGATAATAAGTCTTTTGGAGAGACAGTTCCATGATAAACTGATAATGACTGAAGCTGTATTTGAAACTATCAGTTAACAGCAAATTTTTCACTCTGGTCTACGGGATACTTATTTTAAATATGAATGACATTTTTGTCCCTTGATGTTAAGCAACATGAGCAAGCAACAATCCACCAATGGTACATTTTTTGTCATGTTTGTATGTCATATACATGTTTGGTGAACACCTATAAACAGAAAGATAAACAAATAATTGTTCCATTCCTCTACTTAAAAAGTAACCTAGAGGTACCACTGTTCACTATATTCTATTGTTTTGTCAAAATTTGCCTGTCCTTGGTATTTCAAATACAAGATGCCAAGTAAATGTTTGTGTGATGAAGCTATACCTCACATAAACAAATAAGAAATCAAATAAAGACACAACTGGAGCTTGGTCAAGTGCCTAAGTTCAACCCTATTGAGAGCTTCAGATGGCATCATGGCTGTAAAAGTGTGTAAAGGCCATAAAGATTGGACAGAAATATATAATAATCAGTGTTAAAATACAAAAAATTGAAACTATTACGACAGTAATACAAGAAAGATGTCCACAGTATGTCTCATTCCTTGATCTGAGCAAGCACAATTGAATATGTAGGGTACCGGTACATTGCATTTCGCCCTGTTGCGATGAGTGACATGCTTTCTAACATTAGTTATGATAAATTGGATTTAAATATTTTAGAAGAACCATCTATTTAAGACATTTTGTAATTTACATTTTTTGTTTATTTACAGATTTAATATGAACCACAGAATGACATAAAATGGATGACAGAGTTCACAGATTAACAGATAATTTACAGGTATAATCTGTCATTTTACTGAAGAAACATGTACTTTAGAAGTAAGAATGGTTTCCACAGAAATTTCAGTACATATTAAATTGGGGTTCCTATGTGGAGTTAGTGTGGAATGTACATTTTCTGTAAGTGGTTGCTTCTCTAAAATTTGTAAAAAGACAAATTTAACAAAACTGGTAAAATAACCCTTACCCTAACCCAACCCATAACCCTAATCCTTACTTTCATTACAACATTATAACCTGGATTCAAAGTATCCTCAATTCAATTACTCCAGCTCAGACCTACAACGAATTAGAAAAGGTTTGTGAAGTAGTTTAAAACATTTTTGAAGACCTTCCTATAACTTTAATGATAAAGAATAACAATGATAAAATACAATGCATTTAATACATATAGATAATTTATCCACCGTACATTTGGGCATGTTAACTCACATATACCCAACATATATTCCTTTTCTCCCATAGTCTTGGTAGGAAAGATAACTTAATGCATTGTTTTGCCCAGTTTCTTCACTAAACTGTTAATCCGTGAGATTTGGTGTAATATGTAAAATGTTTAAACAAAAGAAACAAACAATCTCCAAGTTAAATTCAAAAAGGGGAAGATGAAAAAACAGACAAAATCAAATGTGATCAACAAACGGAACAAGCAGAAAACAACTTTCATATTCCTTCCTAAGAAAATGGTCAGTGAAACCTGGTTTTATAGCTAGTTAAACCTCCCACTTGTAGACCTCAATTATTTGATATTTGTTTATTTAAAAATAAAAAAGAATTGGGATCACTTTTTAATTGACATTTCACTGTTAACACAATTACAAAGATGGACCACAACAGACCTTACAACTACCATTATTATCCAAACATTGGATTGGTTCTCCACTTACAACAAAATTAATTTCTGTGCATGTCAAAGCATCATATAATAATACTCACATACTAAAGTTATAATTAATAGGTTAACATAAGTGTAATTATTTACCATTTATATTACCTTTGCCTTTGATCCAATGTACCAAATTAGACTTATACCCAGGTTTGTACTTGCATGAGCAACATGACAGTTGCCACATGTAGAGCAGAATCTGCTTACCCAATTGGAGAACCTGAGATCAACCACGTTTTTTTGTGGGATCGTGTTGCTCAGTCTTTAGTTTTCTAGAATGTGTTTTGTCTACTGTTGTTTATCTTTGGATCGTTTTTCATAATTTTGCCATGGTATTGTCACTTGGTTTAGACTTACAAAATGTATCAGTATGACTTTCTTTGGATCGTTTTTCATTATTTTGCCATGGTATTGTCACATGGTTTAGACTTATCAGTTTGACTTTCTTTGGATCGTTTTTCATTATTTTGCCTGGTATTGTCACATGGTTTAGACTTATCAGTTTGACTATCTTTGGATCGTTTTTCATTATTTTGCCATGGTATTGTCACATGGTTTAGACTTATCAGTTTGACTTTCTTTGGATCGTTTTTCATTATTTTGCCTGGTACATGTATTGTCACATGGTTTAGACTTATCAGTTTAACTTTCTTTGGATCGCTTTTCATTATTTTGCCATGGTATTGTCACATGGTTTAGACTTATCAGTTTGACCTTCTTTGGATCGTTTTTCATTATTTTGCCATGGTATTGTCACTTGGTTCAGACTTATCAGTTTGACTATCTTTGGATCGTTTTTCATTATTTTGCCATGGTATTGTCACTTGGTTTAGACTTATCAGTTTGACTATCTTTGGATCGTTTTTCATTATTTTGCCATGGTATTGTCACATGATTTAGACTTATCAGTTTGACTATCACTGTGTTATCTTCTGCTCATTTTTTTTAATTAGCTTTTTCATAACCTTATTTGTCTGAAAAAGGGTGACAAATAAAATTCCACCCATCCGAACCCTGACCATAAAAGAAAAAAAAAGATGAATTCAATATATGACAGGTCTGGTGTGCTTTCTCACCTTGACAGAATTGCATTACTACTACATATGAGTTGCCAAAAAAATAACTTTCTATTATGAAATACTGGCTTCAATTTATTTTTATGTCCCACCTAGGGGCATTATGTTTTTCGGTCTGGGCGTCGTTCATTCATCCGTTTGTCCGTCTGTCCCGCTTCAGGTTAAAGTTTTTGGTCATTGTAGTTTTTGATGAAGTTGAATTCCAATCAACTTGAAACTAAGTACACATGTTCCCTATGATATGATCTTTCTAATTTTAATGCCAAATTAGAGTTTTGACCCCAATTTCACGGTCCACTGAAGACAGAAAATGATAGTGCGAGTGGGGCATCCGTGTACTATGGACACATTCTTGTTCAAAGAAATCTGTCAGTAAGAGTTTTCACTTAGAAACTACTTGTGTAGCTTTAAATTAAATTAAATAAAGTGCGTCCATTGAATATGTACATATCTGTCTTTAATTTATGTGAACAGATAAACTTTAAAATAAGTTATTTATTTTAGAGAATTTTGATTTATTTTTTGCCTATATATATATAATATATAACTCTGAACCTTACAAGAACACACAATAAGTATCAGGGGCATTTTGAATTGAATTGAATAAATTGTATTGACTAATATTAGTTTAAAGCTATTTTAAATTCTATATCAAACTGTAAAAAGTGACAATTTATTTTACTTCAAATCTATAAATTATTTCATCAAATGCCCCTTGTAAAGTCATTAATGTGAGATCTAGAGTGCCTATAATAACAGTCACTTTGTCTTTTATCAAAGATTTCATATAAGAAATCCTGTCGACATTTAGTGGCCTAACACTCTGTTCCATCTCGATATGATTCTTCAACCATATAAAATTAACAGATAAATGTTAAATGCCAGAACTGTTATAAATGTTTGTCAAAACAAGTCCTTTTAATCAATGCACTATTTAGTATACAGAGTGATTGAAGTTAAAAATCATGTTTATTTCTTTTCAGTTTAAATCAATGGAAATTTAAATAGAAATTAAATGACTAGAGATTGTCTAATCTTAAAACTTATTAAAATTGTATGCATGGCAAAGGATCATTCACTTGAATTCATTAAAGTTTTATGAATATGTTTTGTTATCCTTACCTAAGGAATCAATAAAAATGATGGATGATAAAAGTACTAAAGAGATTTAAAGGAATCTGAGATATTTCCTTGTTGTATGTTAATTCCTAGTGGCAATGCACATGAAATATAATAGTTTTCGTCTTCTATTCATCAGGGCTGTTCCATAATTGATTTTATGAGGAGGGGGAGGGTTGGAGGGCAATTCTATTCAATTTCATTTGCGGTGATTACTTTAGAAAGAAAGCTTAACAACTATTGGAAATATTTCTGGAAAATTATTTGCATGGCATGTTGGGGTAAAATAATAAGTGTCTTCCAAGTTCCAACCCCCTGCCCATACATTTATTTCTGGAACGGCCCTTAGATGGTTAATTGATTTGAAGTATTTGTATTAATCATAAATGATAAGTCAAAAGATGATCAATAAAAACATTGCATATTGTCATTAAAGTGAGAGCTAGCATAAAATTGTTTAATCTTGTCTTGTTTAAGAAAAAAAATATCAAATAAAATTTCTTACTTTTTTGTTTGGTTTAAACATATTTCATTTGTTTAAATTTGTAAAAGAAATGACACACATATGTTGTTGTATTTTAGGGAAAGATTAAAAAAACAAATGTTAAGTTCTTATACACTTGTCAAACTCGGTCTGAAAGTTTAGCTGGATCATGATATTTCATTAGAATTAAAATGAGTCTGTAAAAGTATGTTCAGTGTACCATGAAGATGTTAAAGATGTTTGAACTATACAATGTAGTGTTGTATAGAATTTAAATAATCGTCACAGTAATAGGTCTTTACCAAATTCTCTTCAAGTGTTAAATTTGTCATCAATGAAAACTTTTCTTTCATTTGTATGTGAAATATATTTGCTATTCATAGCAAAATATTGGATGAAAAATAAATTATTTCTGCCTTATCAATTTTGTATAGTAACAAATCTATACCACCAAATGAGATGGAAGTGAAAATTACCATTTTGAGATGTTTTTTCCACATAACTACACAAGTTTTTCATTTTCACACTGTAGGGAACGACTAGAAACCTGCGTTCCTTGGATCGCATGTTAGATTCTTATCGTGATGTTACAAGAGAACAGCGAAGCTCAGTCGATAGGGTAAGTAACCAAGTATTAATGAATCACTACGAAATTCATAGTAATCATAATTCAAGAAAAGTGGCTAAAATCGTAGTTTAATTTTTTACAATGTGAGTTATCACTTTTCCTAGGCAACATCAATGACATATTGCTCATGACAACATGAAATATTGTGAGATTGAAAATTATCGTTCAGAATTGAGAAAGATCAAAGGAAGATTTAGAAAATAGAGATATATGTATATTTTTACACCTTTGTCTTAAACTATTAGCATTTGCAATCACATGATATTGATGAATCAATCAACTATTATGTAAAAATAAAGAAATTTAATAAAAAAGGACAAAAACTCAGCAATGATGACAATTTAATTTATACAGTACACTTAGTTTGTTTTTCACACTTAGTATTGTAATCTAAACTTATGTCATTGTTAAGTGTTCAAAACTTAATCCAAATATTAAAATAAAGTTTAAAAACTAACTTAATTCAAATATTAAAATAAAGTATAAAACTAATAATAAAACACATTGTTTTTACAGTTACGTGATGAGGTAGCAAGAACACATGATCAGGTTAGACGAGAAAGAGCAAGAAGTCCGTCATACAGAGATTATGGGGTAAGGTTCTTATAAAAACAATGCTTTACTGGTTAATGGGAAATCTTATTTTCTGGTTAAGGCTTATTGTCACTCACTATGATATAGCATGGGCTTTTGGTATCTTTTTATCAGTTCTTTTGTTAAAGTTTTAATGGCGAGCATTTTAATGGATATATTTGTATATTTTATTTGTTGGCAACTTGACATGTATGTATTGAAACATGCTATGGAAAAAGATGCAAATCAAATAAAAGACGATAAAGTTTCAGGTAGATGACTACTAACATTTTAAGTTGGAATCTGCAGATGTTAAAGAGGCATGTTGTCAAATGGCCTCCCCAACATTTCCTCTTATGGATTTTACACAAATTGTCAGTTTTCGGACCTGACCAAAAGATTTGACAAGAAAAAACATTTTGTTTTAAATGAATGTTTTACCCTTTTTACAATTAAAAAAAGAAATCATTTCGTGAAATTTTGATCTGTAAGGAATAGTTCCACAAATGTAATGTGAAATGAGAACCTGTTCATTGAGCTAGAAATAAACAGTAGTAAAACTTAGTGACTTAAAGCTATAAAGTACTAATTCAATCAAAAAAAGAAATTTAATATTTACAATATTACTTTAATCCTGTACTTTCTGTTTACTAAAATTTGAAATACATTTTTATATGATTATTATATTTGAGATATTTTGACGGATTAAGAGGATTTAAATGTTTCTTTTGAAAGTGTAGTAACACGTCTGTACATCACTGATTATTTTAATCCCCAGGACAGTGGAGGACAGGTAGATGTATTATTGTTATGTTTTAATTATTTAGATGAGCTCAGTTGTATACAATATTATAATCTTAAATGATAGGGGATTTTAATGAGAAGACTTTCTGACATCGTAAATTCAATTGTTGTGTGTCACAGTGTTGTCATGACCTTGAATGTTATGCATATTATGTCTGACAAAACTGCTAGTTGATTTGGTACTTGTTAAATGTGTAGAAGGTAGCAAGCAGTAAGCTATTGTAGGTAAAATTAGATGCAGTTAATGAAATCTTTGAAATAAATTATTATCTGAAAAATCAGGATAGGGAACAAGATTTAATGTTTAAGGCTACTTTATTAAAATGGATGTTGGACTTCCAAAATGCCCTGAGGCCCTACAACCAGCATACCTTCTTTGATTAATTTTGCATACATCAAATGAACTTAAAACCATAAATTGCCCAGAACCAAGATCCAAAAATAAAACTTCCTGTCCTTCTCTCCCACATCAATTTTAATGGTACATGTAAAGCCCTAACGTACTCATGGCTGACTTAAAATTTTGAATCATATAAGTAATAAAATATTGTATTTCTTTTTTAGCTCACCTGACCTGAAAGGTCAAGTGAGCTTTTCTCATCACTTTGCGTCCGTCGGCCGTCGTCCGTCGTCCGTAAACTTTTACAAAAATCTTCTCCTCTGAAACTACTGGGCCAAATTTGACCAAACTTGGCCACAATCATCATTGGGGTATCTAGTTTAAAAAATGTGTCCGATGACCCCGCCAACCAACCAAGATGGCCGCCATGGCTAAAAATAGAACATAGGGGTAAAATGTAGATTTTGGCTTATATCTGTGAAACCAAAGCATTTAGAGCAAATCTGACATGGGGTAAAATTGTTTATCAGGTCAAGATCTATCTGCCCTGAAATTTTCAGATGAATCAGACAACCCGTTGTTGGGTTGCTGCCCCTGAATTGGTAATTTTAAGGAAATTTTGCCGTTTTTGGTTATTATCTTGAATATTATTATAGATAGAGATAAACTGTAAACAGCAATAATGTTCAGCAAAGTATGATCTACAAATAAGTCAACTTGACCAAAATGGTCAGTTGACCCCTTAAGGAGTTATTGCCCTTTATAGTCAATTTTTAACCATTTTTCGTAAATTTTTGTAATCTTTTACAAAAATCTTCTCCACTGAAACTACTAAGACAAATTTAACCAAAATTGTCCACAATCATCATTAGGGTATCTAGTTTAAAAAATGTGTCCGATGACCCTGCCCGCAAACCAAGATGGCCGACATGGCAAAAAAATAATACATAGGGTAAAATGCAGTTTTTGGCTCATATCTCTGAAACCAAAGCATTTAGAGCAAATCTGATGGTATAAAATTGTTCATTAGGTCAAGATCTATCTGCCCTGAGACCAATCAGGCAACATGTTGTTGGGTTGCTGCCCCTGAATTGGTAATTTTAAGAAAATTTTGCAGCTTTTGGTTATTATCTTGAATATTATTATAGATAGAGATAAACTGTAAACAGCAATAATGTACAGCAAAGTTAGATCTACAAATAAGTCAACATGACCAAAATTGTCAATTGACCCCTTAAGGAGTTATTGCCCTTTATAGTCAATTTTTTACAATTTTCATAAATTTTGTAAATTTTTGTAAATTTTTACAAAATATTTTCCACTGTAACTACTGGGCCAAGTTCATTATAGATAGAGATAATAGTAAGGAGCAAGAATGTTCAGTAAAGTAAGATCTACAAACACATCACCATCACCAAAACACAATTTTGTCATGAATCCATCTGTGTCCATTGTTTAATATGCACATAGACCAAGGTGAGCGACACAGGCTCTTTAGAGCCTCTAGTTCCTCTTGAAAAACTTTTTCCCCTTTGGATGTTTTTAGAACAGTTTTATACTATTTCTAACAACATACATTACAATTATTTTTTTATGTTACAGAGAATTTATTATTCGTTTTTCTCTTTTAAATTTTTTCTTTCCGCATATTTAGAACAGTTTTTAGGTCACTCCTGACGACACAATTATTTTTTCGTAGTAATTTTTTCACTTTGTATTTATAATTCATATCTAAACAGGTCAAATGTCATAATAATTTAGGCTAAATTAAGTACTGCATCCCCTGAATATTATTGTACTACACTGATCAGACAGGTGGAGGATAACTAACACTGTTTAATGCACTTCACAGTTTTTGTTTTTTATCACATAACTTTATGTATGTTTTTAGTCACTTTATAAATTTTTTTGGTTTGACATTCACTAGCTAATTTTTCATTACATTATAAGTGCATTTATTATTAGATACTTCTGCAGATAATTCACAATTCATCCAGAATAAATTATCAAGGGTTTAATACCTTTACATTATTGAACCAATATCATTATTAATATCACCGCAATATAGCTTTTTTGTGCTCAGGTAACATAAAGCAAGCACCAATCAATCATTATTAATAATTTCAGTTTTTATCATTGATTATTTTTGATTGATATCTCATATTCATAATTCAACAAGCACATGAATGTTTGTTTTATGAGCACATTGAAAAGTAACCTACAAAAAATTAAAAAACAAATCATTAGCACTGCAATGTATCATTTTTCATTTCTAGAGCACTTTGAAAAGTCACTGATGAAACAACAGGAAAAAATCCAATTATCCCTTATGAATAAAATTTTAGTGTTAGAATTTATTTCAACCAGTTTTTTTTTTCTTTTTTCTAGAGTGATAGTGAATTTGAAGGTTCTCCGACTGTGACTAGACGACGAAGGAAGAGAAGTTCTACTGTACGGTTTGCAGATGATATGAACAGAGAACTTCACACTTTAAATAATTCATTACGAGATTTGTCCAATGACCATATAGATTTAGGGCATCAGTTTCAATCAGAAGTTGGACGAAGAGAAAGGTAATTTAAAAAAAATATTTTAAAAAAAGTGCTGTAAAGTTAATTGATTGATTGTTGGTTCTTGAGTGTTCAGCACCAACTATTGCATATTGCATGCAAGTTTTTGGCAATTAGCTGGAAAATCTTGTAGTTACTGCCTACTTCAATTGATCAAAGATTTGTGTCATGTAAGAACATCTTTAACATGCGCACCAGCAAATAAGACCAAACAAAGTAATATATGTGTTTTTGCTAAAATGCTGAAAAAAAATTAGGGTCAGAGGGTAAGTAAAAATGACATATTTGTAATTTATTTAATATAATGTATTTAATCTTGATCCTTGTCTTTCAAATGTTTGGATGTGAGTGTTCCTGCTTAAGCTAAATCTAGAAAAGCGCTTTGAATGCACAAAATTAATAAAGGGTTATTTTCATTTGTAGGAGTGAATATGAAGCCAGAAGGACAATGAAAGATATATCAGAAACACTGAAGAAAATGCCACATGAAGATCCTGTAAGTTCATATATATGTGCTGTGGTCTGGTTATGGCTCATGTGTCACACATCATATATTCAACACATTTGGCAATCACATTCTGAATTAAGAAAATAAAAAAAAACATTTCTAAAATTTCATGCAGCAGAAAATGAGCCTGAATTTTCTATTTGAAAATATATTTTGAATCGATCTTTCTTATTATCATTGGAATTCCTGACTTTGCCATCTGTATAATTGACAATTTTGAAAATGATATTAGCTGCAAATAAAGTTGTCGATGATAATACACACATATTTAACAAAAGTTATACATGCCCATTGTAAATATTTAAAGGTTGCTTCCCGAGTAGAGAGAAGGTTGAATGCTATACAAAACGAGTTACAAGGAGATAGGGACAGACATGCTTATGATCGTTACGATGAATTATTGAATTTATCAACTGATTTACGACAGGTGAGAACTTTCACATTTTATTTTCATAAAAAGATTGAAATTTTAATATATTTTAAAAAACAACGATTTTGGAGTTTTAATACAGAGTGGACTGGTAGTATTTTTCCCTTATTTATAATGTTCCTTAATGGAATAGGAGCTTCAAGTATATGTATTTTACCTATCAGAAGTTACTTTTATGAACAAAATAAAGAGTTTCTTCTAGTAGACTGTTAATGTTAAGAGCTCCATTCATTTAACTGATGAATACTGATGAAAGATATGCAGTATTAATTTGTAAATATATCCAAATTATGGCATTTCAAGCAATGATTATTTGAATAAACTGAATTTCTCAATTTTTAGCATATAAGCACACCTGCAGTAATTGTAATTATACTTGTTTTGTTGAAAAATATATTAGTTTTGTTGTGAATGATTTATTTGCAGTTTAAACTCGGTGAGATTAAATATCAGACCAAATTTCTCTTATGAATTTACAAGAAACCTGAAATACAATTTAGATCAAACTTTGAAAATGATATCAATTATTAGGTACTTACTTTTTTGGTTTTGGTCTTTATTTTTAAAGCAAAAATACTGTGAACTCATTTATTTTCCTGGGTACTAGTTTTTGTGGATTGATGAAAATTGTATCTTCATGGATATTTTATTTTGTGGTTTTGCAGATGTCTGCATTCAACTCTACAGAAAATTTGAACTTGGTCGAACATTTAAAATTTATGGTTTATCTATTCCCACGAAAGCAAAGAAAATTGGTATCCAACAATTAATAAGAAATTCTCAATAAGCTTAAGTATATTGTAAGTTTGGTCTGATATTTAGAGGTTATATATCGTTTGCACGATGGTAGAAGATATCGCTTTATTTCAGGCATTAAATCAAAATCAACATTATGCACAACAAGCAGCAGATGAACGAGTCAGGAATCAGTATTTACAATCAGAAGCCAATAAAATCAGAGTAGGTTCTTCAAAATACTTTTAATCATTTTGGAATTCACAGAGATTAAGGCTCGTCCTGAATCTTCATGAAATAATTGCCACTGAACATTAGGCAAGTAACAATCAATTAGAGATTTAGGCCTAGAAATGTTTGGTTAATAAAACCTACTTCTACCTACCTAAATCTGAATGTTTTTATTATATTGCTTGCTTAATTCAGCTGAGCCTTACCTAAATCTAACTTTGATTTTTCTTTGATGTAAGATGATATTTATTATGGGCAATTCCAGAAATAAATGATTGGGGGGTTGGAAGGCACTTTTTATTTAACCTTGCCATGCATTAAATTTTAGTTGATCTATAAGGCTATCTGTCTAGAATAACCACCACCCATCAAATTTTGATAAAAGTGCCTTCCAACCCACCATTTAATTAATTCTGGAAAAGCCCTAAACAAATTCTATATGCCCAAGATAATTTAGAATTTTTATAAACAAACATTTTTTTCTAATCTTTTAGAATTAAAAAGGATTTTATGATTGAGTCAGCTTTGCAATAGATTGATTCAATATCTTACTTGAAGAACAACTTGTTGTATATTACCTTTGAGAATCTTGAATATATATTTTGCCAAATATTTTCTATTTTTTTCAAAATTCAAATGTCCATGTTAATGGCATATCTGCTGCTTTGTAAATTTGTCATATATAAATATACTCATTGTGTTTGTGGCAGTATTATAGTTTAAGATGATGTTCATATGATAAAATGTATGACTTCAAAATCACTCATGAAGGTCAAGGCCATGTAGTTGTCATTTCCATTGGTTACAATTTTGAACTTACACTTAATCTCCAGTTCAAGGTTTTTATCGTGACTTATCTATTGTAAATTTGATTAAAAAATGTTTTTTAGTAAGGTTTGAATAATCTCTTCTTATTTTGCAATTTTTCCAACCAAAATGTATTATCTCAAGTAAGAAAAAAGGGCCTCAATAAAATTTCAGTTGATAGACATTTTTATAGAAACACAGTTCAGGTTCATTTTTTAGTAGTATGTTTATGTTTGAAATTTGAAGTAAAGATATTTTTTCATTTGTTCATTCCTGAATAAATTACTATTCCACAGTTAACAATTAAGAAGTATATAATGAATACAATGACATTGTAGGTAGAGTCAGATTTAGACAACCTAAAGAGAAAATTAGATCAGAGTGAAGGTGGCAAAGTAGCTCTTCAAGCACAGGTAGGTACCAGTTATAATGTAATCATCAGGTACCAATTATTTTGCAAGGAAGCAATTTTCTGAAAACACTTGAGGTCAAAAGTTTCAAAAACAGAGTTATATGGAATATTTGGAGCTAGAAAAAAAGGTTAGGTCTAAACAGATAAACAAACACGCTTTGAATGCCAATTGAATCATGTGGAGTTCAGGATCAATTTAATTGGAATAAGTTAATTAATTGATCAATCTAAAAAAATTATGGCTTTATAACAGCTATTGAAATTATAGTTAACCAAAGTCTAGATATTGTTAACAACATGTATATAAAACTAGTTATTTTGTTCAGGTGGATGAATTAAGGTCACAGTTCACAGGTCAAAGTCTAGATATTGTTAACCACATGTATATGAATCATGTTATTTTTTACAGGTGGATGAATTAAGGTCACAGTTACACAGAATAGACAATGAAAAAGGTCGTCTGAAACAACAGATGGATGACAGCCGATATGAAGATGAAATTAGAGAAAGAAGGAAAAAACGATCAGGTTAGTATAATGGAGGATAGAAGTACTTTACTATATACTTGGAAATTTCATTAGTTTATAATTTTTGCTGTACATGTATTCACATTTCTATGGTATTGTGCACCTCATATTTTATTTTTTAATCCAATTGATTTTTGAGTTTCCCATAACAAAACATAGGCTTTGCCATATCAATATAAATGGGGAAGGGGGTTATGATTTTTTTTGCGATGATCACAGTTTTCTAGTTTATTTGAGTGACCATTTGATGAAATGTCAACTTCAGGTTGCTTTGGTATCATAACTATCTGAACTGAGTAATGCTCACTATGATATGAAAGCCTACATGTTGAAATTCGAAAATACCTCTTATTCATTAAATCTGATTGGACAATTCTTTTCAGCATGTTTAGAATCATATTAATAGGTTTCTCATTTAATATACACTCTTTTCCTGAAGGTATATTTTATTCCATAAAGTTTCAATATATTTGTGAAGAATACAGACTTGTTCACAAATAATAAAATTATAATTTTTCTAGTGGAAGAGGAAAAGGACAGAGATAGGAGATTAATGGAAAGAGAATTACAGGAGTTACGAGGTCAGTTAACTCGATCAATTAGTGCTTCAAGTGAAATGGAGGAATTACGGCGAGGGATTGAACGCAGTGAACGTCAAAGAGTTCAGCTTTCGGATCATATAGAGGTCAGTAGTCAAAAGTATTTGGTGCTTTTAGTACTTTCATCTGTTGCAAAAATAGTTGATTGGTTTTTAATGCCACTTCAGATTGTATTTAAATGGCCATATATCTGTGATTGTTATATGAAATATTACTTTGTGGGTTTTTAGTTGCTGGGTTGTCTCATTGTCATATACTTGATATATTATTTATTATGCCTGGGATACTAGTTTTGGTGAAATTAGACCACACATTTTAACATTCAACAAAGTACAAATTCTCTTTTGGCCTGTATGCGGAATTTGTTAATCCCAAAATCAAGAGTCCATGAAAATGCAATTTTTAATCCATCTTTGAAATGTGTAGTTACAAAAATGGAAACATGTTTACCATAAAAAAAGGGGGGTGAAGAAAGATTGTATCAATTATCAGAATCTTAAAAGTTATGTTTTTTTATCTAGAAAAAAAGAAATTAAATATTTGATCTTCATAAAATTCTATAGAAATAATTTCATATACTTTAATTTTTGCAGACTTTGACGAAAGATTTAGATAATCGTGAAAAACAGGCTGCCAAGCTTATTACACAATTAAAAGAAATGTCAGACAAGTTTGAAGCTTCTGATCGACAGAAGAATCAGTTACAAACTAATTACGATGATTCTTCTAATAAAGTGAAAGAAGTTACTAAAGACTTAGAAAAAACGACTAATGAATTACGGAATACACAGTTATCTTTACACGAGTCAGAAAAGAAGAAGGATGAATTCAAAGCTCGTGCTCAGGAAACAGTCAGACAGTAAGTACTATTGTTCAATACTCAAGCATTTAAAAAAAAATGCAACCTTGGTTTATTTTATAGTCTGAGAGTAGAACATTTCAGATCCATATTTGATATGGTATGATCAGTACATGTTATAGTTTAGGCCATAAATATAAATATTTTCTGCTAATCTGACTTTTAAGTTTTCATGTCTATCTATAGGTTTTTCATCCACTTTCTAAGAAACAGTTAATGCCAAAATGTTGCTCTTGAAGAAATAGATTATTTTTTTGGAAAAATGAAAAACTTAGACGTTCTATGAACTCATATTTTATTATTTGATTTTACTGAAAACAACACTCATTTTTCTTGTCATAACTTTAAACAGAAGGTACATATCTGAAGCATGCTGTCATATGCAAAGTGTACTTTATGGAAATGAAAACAATTTGAGTGATAAGTTGAGAATTATAAAAATAATTGTAATATGAACCAGTTTAAATTTTAGATGGGAAATGAAAGTTAAACTAATTTGTACTTGTTCTATTTTTAGATGGAAAATGAAAGTAAAACAATTAGAGCGTGAAGTTGACAGACATAAACATGGTGCTAATCAGTTAATACAGAGAAATGAACAGCTAGTCAAAGATCTAGAAAGTCATCGACACCAACTACATCATAATGGTATGCAGATGGAGAATATGAAACGAGAGCTCGGTGATGCTTTGGTTAGTTATCAGCAAGAAAACTGTAGAGTGGATTCATTTGTTGTCATGGGTACCAATTTTGGTGGATAAACACAAAAAAAATGTATTTGTGCAAATATTTGAATTTGGTTTTGCCAAAGTCTGCATATAAGCTTATAGAAATTTGTTACTTCATTGAACCTTTAGATGTGTGGTTCACCTGTACCCATGAAACCCACCAAAATAGGTTCCACAGTATTGAATTTAGACATCTGGTGCATTAAAATTTACACTGTATTACAAGTATTGAAATAATCATTAAAGTTATTTGATTTATTTTTTCAGGCTGTAAGAGCTGCTCAGGATGAACAAATCAGAATCAAAGATGTGGAACTTAATGAACTTAAATCTGTAAGAATAGATATGGACAGAGAGGTCAGAGACTCAAGAACAATTGTAGAAAGGGTAAGTCAGAAACTCCAGAACAGTTGTAGAAAGGGTAAAGTTATTTTCTCTCTGTAGAATATAATTATTGTATATCAAGTTTGCACGTGTAGATGAAATTTATGAATGAATTTAAAACTACATTTTCATAGGTATTTGAATGCATGTTATAATTGAAATATATGGTATGACCAGAATATATGAATGAATTAATTTTTTTTAGTCTATAGACACTTTATTTAAAATTAACACTATAGATTTTCCTCAATTTTGAAATTCTCTACAAATTCATTTTAAAGTCTGTATTTCTAGTGTAATTTTTTTTATATATCTTTAAAAATTAATCATATGTTTGAAAATTTATTTCCACGAAAAAGATAAATTTAATCAGTTTTGTATTTAATATTGTATGCAAGTAAAAAAATCTTTGTATGATACTGACAAATACAATAAGAATTGAACGATTCATTTTCAATTTGATTCATAAATTTAAGTGTCAAGTCTTCCTTTAAATATTACTAACATGAAACATATATACAATATATATAAATATGCATGTATTTTCACATTATTAGATGGAGAATGAATTAAATAACAATGCCGCCAAATTAGCAGCCGTAACAGAGGAGAGAAATAGGATAGAGGACAGAATGTCTTCACTAGAGGCAGCACATTTACTGGCCCAGGATCAGGCCAATCAACTACAGGTAAATAGTCTATTACTATGGCAACAGCTTTATTTGATTTGATTGAACTTGGCTAGAAGGACTACAATATCATTTTCCATTTAAATAAAAAACAATGGAGAGAATAAAGAGTGTATACTAAATTCGAAATTCTGACAGTCATTAAAATATCTAGATAAATAAAAAAGCATTGATGACAAACGTCAGATAATAAAAAACATGGCCGCAAGCAGAATTCACAAAGACACACATTGATCTGTTTTCACTGTATCACTTTTAGTTGTTTCACAATTCACATGATTGAATAAAATTTGAAAATTGATACATTAAAATACAAAAATTTAAGAAGAAATAATAAACTTAAAAACTGTATTCATTAACACGACTCATAAAGTCACATAGTATTTTTGTGTTATTGTTTCACATTTAGTTGTTCACATTTGATTTAAATAAAACTTGTGTGAATTGATGCATAAAAGAAATTGGAGAAGACTTATCTGAAATTTCATTTTCATTTTCACAATTGACAAAGTCTCATAGCATTTGTTGTGTTATTGCTTACATTCAGTCTTCACATTTCAAGCAATTGAAATTAACAACTTCCAGGATGAAAGCTTATTATAAAAACTGATTCATTTTCAGCATGAAATTAAAGAATTGAGTTCTATAAAGGCGGAGATAGCGGCTAAGTTGTCAGAATCTAACGGAAAATTACATGTATGTGCTGCAATACTCGCAGCATACGTAGTTCAAGACACATCAAACTGTATTGTATTAATGTTCATCATAGAAAATAAAATCAATGTTACTTTTACAACAGATACCAGACAAGTGTTAACCAACTTTCTCTCAGGACCAAATTAAAATCATAATCACACTATTGTAACAATATTTCAGAATTTTTTTGAGGACACAAGACCCATAAAATTTAAAGGACAAAGGCCTATGATTCATTTAAATTTGAATAAGTTGTAGATTTCCATATTTTTATGGTGAATAAATTGTAGAATTCCACATTTTTATGGTGTATGAATCAATACAGTTTGACTTGTCGTTTATTTTTGTAGCATGCTCAATAGAATATAGTAGAAAACCCTGCATGTTTTTTTTCCTGTTATAATCAGAATTTTTTGTCTAATATTCGTTATTTCTGTTGTTTTTATTTAGATTTCTTGGTATTACCTATGCATGATATCATTATTTTGAATTTTCACTAACAAATCTGTTTGTTTTGAACAGTATCTACTCTTTTAAACTGTTTTCTTTTTCATGTAGATTTGCTTGCTCGTTGTATAAATATCTGTCTTCTGAAATAACTTTTCTGTTAATTTTCAATTGCATGAACTTTGTTTTTGTATTTTTCTTCCACTTTATAAGCTTTCTATCCTTCTGCTTATATTTCCTATTTTTACAGAAACATTATTTGGGATTTTTTATGTTTTTCACAAATCAGGTATAAATAGATAATTTGCATAATTTCAATTAATTTTTTTTTTTTTGCATTCCTATTTTCAATAATATGTCTTATATATTTAAACTCAGTTTCATATAATGACTATATTTTCATAATCACAAAGTCAAACATTTAACATTAACTTTAATCTTTGTCATCACAATTTATAATCTATGAGTATTTATTCCATACACCTTATCGCTATTTGTCCGCCATTACTGGACATCACACAGGTTCCCGTAAAATTTTGACGTCACAATAGAAAATGTCTGACGCCACAAAGAAAAAGTGATTGTTGTATGACGTCAAAAGTTCAAGTGTCGCAAATTCTCGGGTCAAGTGTCACAGATTCCCAAATAGTGATAAGGTCTATTTGATCATGCAATCATATAAAAACTTTACTTTTTTTAGGATTTGAAACAGAATTATATAGAGATGCAGCATAGAGAAAAGGCAGCCAGAGACGAGGCCAAACTTTACCAACGACAGCTACATGAGGTAATAAAATTGGATGGGTTCAAACAAAAAATATGATACATATGTATAGTAAAGGAGCATTTAAAACTCTGACATATCCATACATAACTTATTTTCAATATGATTCAGAAATGTATCAAAAGTAAATATATTATAGCATTAGTTTTTGTCATGCCTGGACAATCAATGAGTGATAGATTTCTCCTAGAAGAAATTTAAAGGTCCCAGTGAAAAAACTACACAGAGAACAATAGCTATTGTATTTGTTCAATAGAACAAGAGAATAGACAAGTTTAAATTCCCTGGTCAAGAGCAGACGACTCTGTGGAAGACTTTCATTTGGTTCGCAATAATAGTAAGTCAATGGTATTGAGTTTCAATTGTATTGAGTTTCAATTGTATTAGCATTAATACCTCTCATTCCCATGGAGTTTAAGTGGCCTCAAATCCACAGTCATGTTTCACTTACAGAAAATTTTGCATATTTTACATGTTAAAAGTCTTGCCTGCAACAATTGCATTAATGCAATAGAAATTACACACAGGCAAGACATATCTCTATGTCAACTGTTTTATTTATTATTTCTAGGAAAGAGAAAATCACCAAGAACAAATAGAGTCTGTAAAACAAGAACTTAGTGAGGTTAAAGTTCGTGAAGCTCATGTTATGCAGGACATTCAGAGGAAGATGAAGAGAGGTCATGCGGAATATGAAGCTACTATACAAACATTAAAGGTAAAATATATTTACAGGTTTGATTGTGTATTATACCCACTGACCTGGAATTTTTCCTAAATGTACAGTAACGAGTTGGATATACTTAGCTTGAGTGCAAAACTTCTTGTTTGGGGAAATTTTGATATGGTCTGCAAAGCATTGTTTTAATTTACTGTAAACCAACTAATTTTTGCGACTTTCGCGCGTAGGAAAATTATCAATTTTCTGAAAACTTGATCAATTCAGTTGGAATTCAAAATTTATATAAGTCATGTGAATCAGTTAGCTTCACATGACTAGCATTAATTATGTGAAACAGCATGCTCCACATGGGTCACATGACTAGCATTAATTATGTGAAACAGCATGCTTCACATGGGTCACATGACTAGCATTAATTATGTGAAACAGCATGCTTCACATGGGTCACATGACTAGCATTAATTATGTGAAACAGCATGCTTCACATGGGTCACATGACTAGCATTAATTATGTGAAACAGCATGCTTCACATGGGTCACATGACTAGCATTAATTATGTGAAACAGCATGCTTCACATGGGTCACATGACTAGCATTAATTATGTGAAACAGCATGCTTCACATGGGTCACATGACTAGCATTAATTATGTGAAACAGCATGCTTCACATGACCAATATTGATTATGTATGATAACAAATAATGATGAATCCACAGTATTAAAGAATTATAAAATGACAACAAAATCACAAAAACTTGATGTCCAAAACTGAATATGATTGTAGTAGTTATTTTCAAACACAAATGATATTGGCTGTATTAATTGAACCAAATTTTCATTATTTAATAGATGGAGCTGTCAGAAGAAAAATCGGCACATAAAATCTCAAAGAGAAATGACGAGAAGAATAGAATGGAATGTGAGAAACTTACCATAGAAATGGTCAGGTAAGTACACTGATATACTCAATATTATTGTTAATGATTTAGCGCAGGGCTGTTCCATTATATATAAAGGGGACCCAGGGATTTCAGTACAGAATCACAACTATGGATGGGTGTCAAATAATTTTTTGTTCAGTAAATATGGAAATTCTAAAATTGCTACTATAGGTTGTGATCACATAAAATAGCATTTATTTTTTACCTCATTTTCAAAGTGCCCTCCCTTGGTACCATGTATGTGTTAAATGGAACAGCTTTCATGCTGATCGTTAAGTAAAATTTTTTAAACTAGAGTAGAGCATTGTAGAAAAGAAAGGTTAGTACTTTTGTTTTCTTGAAAATTTTGTAAATTTACAATTAATACAATGAAAAACTTGAGTTAGCTGTTATTTCAGAAAAAAGGACAAAATAATTAATGTCTGTAACAATTTAGTATTTTTTAATATATAAATAGATATGAAGAGGAGAATGGACGATTGATGAGAAAATTAGAGAAGATTCGTCAAGAATATGAAACTCAGGTATGTTTATATCATAGCGTGTTTATGCCAGTCATTATCATCTTATCATATTGCTAGGAAAGAAAAAAATAACGTGAAGATGAAATATTTAATGTAAAATTTGCTTAGTTTGCTTTTTCCTTTCATAAATTTTGATTTTGTTTTTGATCTGTTTGTGCTTTGAATTTTTGGACAATAAATGTCCATTTTAAGTGACAATATTTTTTAATTGAAGGAAGGAAGGTAGGCATCTTTATTTGTTTTCAGTAATATTTTCATCCTGATTACATATTAAAATAAAAATATCTATATGGTAATGAAAATGTGAAAAAATACAGGAAATAGTTATTTTCATTGTAATAGGTTATTCTTTGTGCTTTTATTTTTATCAAAAAATGTTCAACCTTCTTGAGAACAGTATATTATTATCAAATTGTCTTTATTCTTTAAAAATAAATTGCATCAGTGTACGTAAAATCATTTTTTGCCCATAGTAAAGTATATACATGAGTTAAGTTTTGTGAATTTTAGGGATCTAATTCCGGTAAACTTACAATGTCACCACACCTCCGTCCCCGGCGGAAACGAGGATGTCTAGTCAGTATAAACCATATTTTAGTGCTGTCGTCTGCTTTGTTGCAAAACATCATCATCCCATCATCCTTGTTGTCATAGCAACAATCATTACTAATATCGATTGAAGAAATAAATTTGGAGGCAAAATAACTGCATGTTAGAGTCTGCATGAATGATTGAAGTGACATGTTTTCATGTGATACATGTTCATGTAGTTTGTAAATTTTTTTAATCTAATTTGAAAAAAAGTTAAATAAAACAATACACCTATAGAAAGCAGTGTATCGTATTTCTAACATAGTGGCAATGAAAGATAAAAAATAAATAGTATTGCTAGTAAAGTCAGTTTTAATGTAGAATAGAATTATAGTCTTGACACTTTTATGAACAAAAGTGTCTGTAATAGTTGGATGAGCGATGATGAACTCATTTGAAAACTGATTTGTGTGAAAATACATATACGCTATGCAAAGAAATGGTATAAGGTTTACACATAATTGTGGAGAAGGAAACGCTTTGTTAATGCACAAGTTTGGCAACACTTTATCATAAGGTTTGCACAAATTTGTGGGATAGGAAATGCATTTGTTAAGGCTCATGTGTGGCAACACTTTATCTATATTTGTTAGTCAATTAAAGCTGAGTAGGTATAGACATGCAGTTTGTTCAATTTCTGCCTCTTTTTCCTGCTGTTAGATGAACACCATGAGTTGGGCAATCCATAAACACTTGAATGGATGTAAGAGAGTCTGGATGGGGGGTCTTCATTTCTGTTTTCTTCATTTTTTCTGCAATTTTTTTTCTCTTCATATTTTGGCCAATTATTCTCTACTATTCTTCAAATTTTAACACCCAATTATTCTCTGTTCTTTATTTTTTGCCCATTATTATTCTTTATTTTCTATTTTTGCCCATTACTTTCTATTCTGTAAACCCATCCAGACGCTCATGTAAAATAGAATTATTAAACTGATAAAAGTGTAATATGTAACTAATTATAGATCATTTGATTTTCTAAAATTTTTTATGTTATTTTGAGTCTGATATTCATAAATGTGAGTGATATTGATAAATGTTTTGAATTGTGAACATTGTTTTTTCCTTTTTGAATATGATTTATGTATATTATTTAAAAGACATTAATTATTTTTCTTTTCTTTTCAGACTCAAATGGCAGAAAGTGATATTTCAAGGTAAATTACTTGTATTTGATTTCATAGTAATAAAATTAAGAATGGAAATGGGGAATATGTCAAAGAGACAACAACCCGACCAAAGAGCAGACAACAGCCGAAGGCCACTAATGGGTCTTCAATGCAGCGAGAAAATCCTGCACCCGGAGGTGGTCCTCAGCTGGCCCCTGACTAAAGCTGTGTGCTAGTTCAGTGAAAATGGACATCACACTAAACTCCAAAACATATAAATGAACTAAAATTAAAAAACATACAAGACAAACAAAGGCCAGAGGGTATATTTTACAATAGAGGTATCATTACTCATGATATACAGCTTTTCTATTTGTTTTTATAAAGAATAGATGAACAATGAATGTGTCATGGTTTTTTGTGTTGTTGGTTAATGTATTTTAGATGACTGCAGTACATCTTATTTTATTCACACAAAATTACCAACTCAGCGAGTTGCAATCTAAATGAAGCCAAAATTTTTACAGAGACTCTGTTAAAAAATTTTCTTTTCCTTAAACTTCACTTCAAATATAATTCCAGGTCATTATCAAACTTTCAACATAAATTCGATCATGATCAGTAAAGCAGACGAGACATTTCTGCATGTGCACATATGTTTTCTAATACATGAGATTTATATAACATGGATTTACTAATTTTAATACTTATATTTTGTATACAGGGTTAAAAGAGTGGAGGAAGAATTATTTTCAGTCCAGAATGATGCTAAAAGATTCCAGGCAAATTTTGAGGTAAAAATGATATGAAATAATATAACATGAAAATATACAAATATTTCACTTTCATGAAAAGCCCATTCAAGAATTTCTGAAAAAGAGAGGCGAAAGATACCAAAGGGATATTCGAACTCACAAGTCGAAAACAAACTGTCTTTGCCATGGAAAAAAAAAGAAGACCAAAACACAAACAATAGTATACAAAACACAACATAGAAAACTAAAGACTGAGCAACAGGAACCCTGCCAAAAACCAGGGGTGATCTCAGGTTTCCCGACAAGTAATTGATTATAGACATGTTTACATCCTTGGCGAAAAGTTGTATCTTTGAAAATCAAACCATATCTACTTATTTTTATACAGAAATGACAAAACTGAATGCTCACCTGAGTTTTAAGTATTCTATCATAACATTTAAGAAATATTGAACTTTGACCTTATTTTCAGGGTTTATTACATGACATGGTAGCAGAAATTGATTCCTTAATGGAGATTACAGCTGTTGGCACTAGAAATCCCTATCAGGTGAGTTAGGTTTATTTTATATATTCTGCTTTATCATCTGTTTCTGATGAATGGCTGATGTTCTAAAAATTCTGAAGAGGTTATAAAATAATGGCAGCTGGAGCAGGTTAAAAATAGAGGCCAAAAAATAGCAAAGGGATTTTAAAAGAAATTTAGATAAAGTTACTTTCCTTTTGATAAAGAACTGTTGAATATTGAACGATAATTGTTTGTCTCGCCTACCTTATGTGTCCGGGTCGGGAAGCTTAGAAAATTGTTAAAGTTTAAACAATTTTTTTTTTTTCAAATGTGCACAAATGACAAACATACAACAGAAACAAAAGGATTAGGAAACAAGAAAATACTTATATAAATCACTCTTTTGTTTACATAAGTAAGACATATCTATTTGTTAACAGTTAATTTTTTTTTATTTTAGCCTGTAGCCTCATCGACAGAAGGACCAAATGCCACTATTGCTGAAGCCAAGGTATTTTAAAAATGCAGTTGATTTGGTGAAATGTAGTTTGTTGAGAAATTACACATTAAGATAAAGAGATTCGCTAATTTTTAATTATCAGATATTGCAAAGTTCTCGAAATCTATTTTCCCTGGTGGTCATTGAAAAAAATCTGCTGGTCCTCACTATTATTTCTATTGCAAAATGCCAAAATTGTGTCAGTCCTTTGCAAAATTTTTGTGGTCAAAACCTTCAGACAACCACTTTACGAGAACTCTGCATTGATGATATGCTGCATATGTTTCTCCTCATGGTATTAGATTGAAATTGGTAATCATTTTAATCTTTGTAATTAAATATTTGAATACCAGCTGTGTTTTGTACCATGGAAAATCAATAACAAAAGGAGAAGTTTTGCCCTAAAAATAGTTTAACTTGTTATTACCTTATTAAGATGTTATAAAATTCCTTCTATTTCTATATTTGACTTGCAGACTAAAATGAAATGGTTGAGAAGCGATATGAGGAACAGATTAACTAGAGAACAAAAGTTACGGAATGATTTACGTGATGCCATTAATGCTAACGAGAATGATCGACAGTACTTACTGTCAGAACTAGCCAAGCGTGAGGATGTCCTGGACGAATTATCCGTAGTTAAACATGGTAAGTTGTAGTCATTTACCTACTGATTGACCATTTTATCAGAAATGCACGGAAACCCTTATAATTGACAAAAGATGAACTTTTGACCACACCAATTTTTTTTCGTTGTTTGAATTTTTATTAACGTTTCACTTTTAAAATATAAATTAAAATTTCTCTTTTCAGCAATAAATTTGGAAAAACATGGTTTTTTAGGGTCTCTTTATTGAAAAATCAAAGGACTTGAAGATCTACATCGTATCATTGGTTCAATAAATTTCCAAAGTTTTACCTTCACATTAGTATTTTATACCATGAATTCACTTGATTTTTCCAACTTATTACTGACTACGTTGCATATTCACATACAGAGAGAAAATTTAACACATGTTTTTTTATGTTTACAGAATTATCCAAGAGAGAATTTGATAGTCAAAGTGCTGTAGAAAACTTAAAGGTAGGTAATACTTAAAAATGTAAACTTTGAAAGTTACCGGATATGTATACATGTGTTTTGTGGTTTATTGAATCATTGGTTGCTGTCTAATTGACTTATATCCCACATCTGCTTTACTCATAAATATATTTTTATGCTTTGTAATGGATCATCTGGTATGTAAGTTAAATTTTATATCTTCAAAGGAGTAGGCCCGGTAAGACACCTTTTTGGCCCTAAAATATAACATTTTTACAATGTAGTTTAAAATGTCACTGTTAGCTATTTATTGGAAAGTAGAATACTTTTGTTACATAAATATGGGCTGTATATGACAATACAACGGACATGCATCACGTTTAAGCATCATTATTTCATGCAAAAATACTGAAATCTTCACAATTTCAGCATTTGTGCTAATTTTAAGACAGTTTTTGTTTAAAATGAAAGTGGCCGCACTTGTGTTCAGTCTTAATACTTAAACATATGTTGTATTTAATGATTATGCATAACATATATAAATGTTGAGACTGAACACGAATGCGGCCACTTCCATTTTAGACAAAAACCATCTGAAAATTGGCGTTTTATGGCATATTTGATAGATTTTTCATATTTAAGCTTGAATTTGATGGTCTCAATTTTTGACCAAATCAGTTCAAATCTTTAACATAAACTAATTGAATCGACTGAAGTAGACACTTGGGTGTTTGAAAAAATTTTAAAAATTTCATCAGATATACTTTGAATTTTAGGCCGAAATTAGCCCTTAGTGGACCTTCTCCTTTAATGTGGTTAAACAATGTTTCAGTGATTGTTTAAAGATTATAAATCAAAATAAGAAATCTAAAGGTTATTTTTTATGTCAGAAATGAATAGTTTGATACTTTATGTGTTTGTTTAATGAGGTTTTGATGGCTTTATTTATAGATTATTGCAATTTCATAGCAATAATTATTGAATGGTGGAAACCAGAGTTCCCAGGAATGATTAACCTACAAACTGACACATACTGACAAAATTTTTGAGTTTTTGTTGTTGGAAAAGACCTTAATGAAACTCAGATGATATACATGAATAAATATCTAATTCTTTTTCCCAAATATAAACCAAAAAGATAAACTAAAAAGTCAGTTGTAAACCTAATTTAGTTATTTAGTATTATTGTTTTATCATATGATTTTACACGATTTATTTTCCTTTGTTACAGGATCATATATTAGACTTGACAGATGAAATAGAACTTCGTAAAATTAGAGAAGAAGAAATTATACGATCTCATGTTATGGATAAGAAACATATCATTGATGAAATGGATGATTTAAAGGTACGTAAGGAATTCTAATGCAACGTTGTGTGTGACATAGGTTTGGAATATTTTTAGTTGAATAATGGGAGGTCACATACAACTGATGTCTAGGAATTAATGTTTTTAAGAAATAATCAGAAACCTTACAAGCCAGCTTAGAATTGAAGTGCTTATGATTGATATAAATATCTAGAAAACTTTTTAATCAAGGCATTTCACAAGCCAACAAGTACACCAAGAAAAACCAATTAATTTGGTATGACCCTCAATAAGTTTTTCCTGTATTTTTGTGTAGGAATGTGAATAATGTTTTAATTCAAGTCATGTCCTCCTTAAGTTAATACACCTTGGTGTTTTGACAACGTAGCCAAAGGAACTAAACAGTTTGTTTTAAGACTTTCACCTAGAGTTAAGGCCCTTTACAAGTAAATAGTTTCAATATCCTGTGTAGACAACATCTCTTTTCTCTGGTAATTTTTCAGGTAAATGTACAGATTACTTGAAATGCTCTTTCTTTCATCTGAGTATTTTTAATAGACAAATAAATGAAGTATTTGATAGAATATGCTTTAGTTATATTCAAATAAACATTAATATATGCATAAAATCATTTTGTTACTATCATTTTATCAGAGTAACAAAAGTTTTTTTTCTTGAACGGAAAGTGTATTTTTTATAAAACTTACAATCATTCACCTGTTATTATGTTGATACCCAGATAGCATGATTCAATATTCATATTCTTTCATATTTTCAACAGCATGTACAAGAAGAGAAGGCTAGGATTGAGAACAGGTACCTCAAGTTACAGGATACAATGAGGGCTCTACAAGATGAAATTCAGTCGGCTAATTTTTGTGGTGCAAAGGTAAGAGTACAGGTATCCAGCTGTTTTATTTGAATGTGTATTCCTTGCACATATTTTGTTATTCAATTGAATACAACTCTACAACTCTTCTTTGGGGAAAGTTTATGATGTAAATATTTTCTAAATTATAAAAATGAATAGCTTTAGTTAATTTAGCATATGAATATATTTTTGAATAAAAAAAGGAATGAATTAACAACTTTATATAAAGTGGAAATGTGTAAAAAGGATTATAATATTAACTCTTTTTGTCTGTAAAATGCTGTATGATAATTACTGTGAAACCCCATATAGCTTATTTGAACATTCATTTTTAATATTTTTTAGATAACAGAAATAGAAAATAATATGCACAATTTACGGAAAGCCACACCTAAGAAGAAAAGAGTAAGAATACAAGACACGTCTCGTAGCCGATCAAAATCTCCACTCAGTCGAGCCAAGTCACCTCTACGACCTAAGTCCCCATTAGTCTAGTGATATTATTTATTGATAGCAATATAACTTGATAGAGATCATGGCAGCTTGTTTATTCTCAAGTATTTGCCATTATTTATTTTTTAGGCTAATTACTATGTGTAATTATATGAACACAGATGATTGTTTCATCTTTGCATTTATGTTGCAGTGGATAAACGTTGATGGAACTGTTAAATTTTGTGATACACTTAAACCAACCAATATAACCGATTGTCACATTTGATGTTGTCAAGTATCACATGACCAAGTCGCTGAATATTTTCATATGTAATCTGACGCAAGGAATGCAGAAAAAAATCATATTATAAATACATGGACCGTATGAAATCTCAAGAAAATGTAGTTGGTGACTTCACGAAGGTCAAAAAAGTCATATGACTTGACATTGTACTTCCGTCCATTTTAATCTGTTATTGATAATATATCCCATCATTCCAATGATAGCAAATGAACTTTGATTATAATATTATTGGTTGTTAGTGCATTTTTTATATATGAAGAATTTTTTTTAAAGATATTTTTAAATAAGTCTAATATTTATAGAAATTTCATTCCATTGAATTTTCTACATTCCGCCATTTAAAATTTGTGAATTTTTCCACTTTATAGAATTCCATACTTTGTTATATTGTTTTATTATTGTCTCAGAGGATTTTTATCTCCCTTTTTTCCGAAAGCTAAGTGACAAACTGAAATTAAGAAATGAATGTTATTTTGATAAATTTGTTTGTTTGTTTTGAATTGAGTCAATTAAGGAGTTCTGTTGTGTTCCTAACAATCATGGTAGGATATCTGGTAGGTCAAACATGGTTTTATTTAAAGCTAGTGTTATTTTGCATCCTCTGTAATCTTGACATTTTCAAAGGGCAAGTTTACCCATACCTTACAACTACTCTATATATTGTTGGGAGATTTTAAGCACGAGAAGACCTATTGCATCTCTATATAAACATGTTGTAAATGTTTAATCTAATATACTATGGTTTTGAATGGGTAAATATGTGCATAAATATCATTTTCACCCCTTTGAATACTGTAAATTCAGAAATTATTGTGTGCATTTATTATTGCGATTTTGTCATTTTAGACTAAAATGCAATTTTAATTTTTGCGATATTGAGAAAATCCTGTTTAATTTATATAAAAAAATTCAAAATGCGAGTTTAAATTATTGCGATTATAACCCTGTCGCATTTTTCGCAATAATAAAAACATCGCAATAATTTCTGAATTTACAGTACCTGTTTTGAGGTACATATGTATTCAGTTTATATAAGGAAGATTTAAAGAGTCTGGTCGACACCTTTTATAGAAGAAATCCCACGTGAATAGAAAAAATTGGAAGGTCTGTTAAGTACAAAAAAGTTATTTTTTTTAAATCTAGAATTCTAAACAAATGCCAGAATTCCAACAAGTCTCCTTAAGACAACACAAGAGTAGAAATTTGATCTCTTCTTTAATCTTACAAGAGTATGAAATAATATGTTTTGCCAAGCCCTCATTTCGTAAACATGTCGAGATTTAGGGGCATGCAGTAACATCTAGCAACATTATCTGTGATATATATACATGTGGAACCATACCAGTATTTGTTTTTGTATTTATGTAGATATTGTATATATACATGTAACACACAATTTTTATGATTTAGATTTTTAAAATAACATACATGAACAACAAAATCAAACAAATACCCTATAACTATTTATAATATTTGATTTTATTTATGGTAGATATTAAATGTTAGACATTTCAATAAAATATACATTGCCTTTTTAAGACCCTTAGTGCTGGATAATTTATATTTTTATAGGTAGATACAGCATTTAATTTATTTATCAGGGTGAATGAATGTTGTAAAGTGTTAATGATTCATAAACATATATTTCTGTACAATTTTATGAGTATATTTTAAAACTATAATTTTTTTAATTTTTTAAAAACTTTCCATTAATTTTTTTTTAATTTGAAATATTAATTTGCAGTCCTAATAGATAAATTCTATTTATACTATGTATTGAAAGTGAAATTTTTTTGGGGATGTCAGCTTTGCTAAAAATGATCAAATATTTGAAAAATATTTTTTTGAATTTTTTTAGCTTGGCAACAAATGTCAGCTTAGGATACTGTAGTATCGGTATACATTTAAAACACTGATGAGAATTTTACTAGTTTTTTCTATATCTGTTTAAGTTAATAGAACTGAACGTAATAATTTTATATCTGGCGGTTGTATTTATACATGCAGGAACATCTGTTTACAATGTTATGAATGTTTACATGTGAGAGTGTTTTACAAGTCTGAGAAATAAAAAATAAATTAAAATAACCGTATTTGTTTCAAATGCCATGAATAAATAGATGAAGTATATGAGGGTCTGGATGGGGATCTTCATTTGTCTTTATATTTAGCAACCCTTTTTTCTCTTCTTTATCTCTGTGGTCTATTTTTCTTTATTCTTAATTTTTTGGTCCATTTTTCTATAGTCTTGGATCATTATTCTCTATTCTGTTACCTTGGTAACCCCATCCAGACCTTGTATATGTTAATAATACAGCATCCGACAACACAAAAAACAAAAAGACATGTGGAGGTCAACATATTGTCTTCAACAGCAGACGGTCAAATTGTCAATTGCCCCAAGTCTTAAAGTTGTGAATAGAGTTAACAGAGTAATGAAGATCTGCCATAAACACAAATCCTCCAAATCACAAAAAAAACATTAAAATATGGCAAAAGACATTAAGATATGGCAAAAAACATTAAAATATGGAAAAGACATTCAGTATTCTATAATCAATTGAAAAAAATCCTGCAAAATTGTCATTGTGAAACAAACAAGCTTTATTTATATAAATACTTGCTTGAAAATAACATTGTCTCAATGTGTATAATTTTTTGATGTTGCAAACAAACTTGTCAAGATGAGATGAATTCTTTTTTTTTCGTGAAATTTTCATTGTCCAAGATGGTAATTATATAAAATAAAATGCTTCGCTGAGCGCAGCTGGATACGACCGCAGAGGTCCAACCCTGAACAGTTGGGGCAAAAATTGACACAATATTCGCGCTTGATACAGGTCTGAATTTGGATTGTAATTAAATAGTTGACACATAATAGGTTTCTGACACAGAATGAACTTAGAATTGGTTATATGATTTTAATTTATTGTGCAATACACTATGCTGTTGAATATTAACCCCCCCCCCCCCAAAAAAAATATTTGAAGAAATTTTCTTTTTAATTTCTGAAATCTGAAATGAGAAAAAATGTAGCCCCCACAAATTCTTATTTACCCCCCCCCCCCAAATTGTTTTCAACTCCCCCTTTCCCTTATTCCAAAAATAATTTCAATTCAAATTTCTAAAAGAGTTTGCAATCATAACTACTCATTTAAATACATCATAAAATATTAAAATATAAAATGACATACAGTCATGGTTAAAATTAATATTAATTAATAGTAACTTCTAAAAATAAATTTACAGCTAATCATCTCAAGATAATCATCATTTCTTAATACATAATTTACAAGCAGTGTAAGGGAGGTAATCAAACATATTTACAACAGTATTCTTTAAATGGATTGGATTACCTCCCTTACACTGCTTTTAAATTGTCTAAATTGTCCTTTAACCATAAAAACCCTTGTTTTCCCCCCTTTTTTGCCCCTAATTGCTAAATGATTTGAGCCATACCCCCCCCCCCCCCCCCATAACCACCCCTTTGTTGTATGGAAGCTTGTGGAATAGTTTCAGAGAGATTCATACACTTTAACACAAGTTATTGTCTGGAAACTGCAAAAATGCTTATTTGGGCCCCTTTTTTGGCCCCTTATTCCTAAACCTTTGGGACCATAACCCCCAAAATCAATCCCAACCTTCCTTTTGTGGTTATAAACCTTGTGTTAAAATTTTATTGATTTCTATTCACTTATACTAAAGTTATTATCCGGAAACCATTTGTCTTCGGACGACAACGTGATACCAATATACGACCAAAAAAATTTTAATTTTTGCGGTCGTATAAAAACACCATGTGGGTCACCCAGCAAGGAAATCTAACATTCATTATACAGTTACACACAAATATCAGCTCGATATCTATAAGGAGAAAAAAACAGCCAACTTTGTAATTTTTCAGTCTTAGTGCTTTACAGGTCAAAAGTAGGTCGGCTTGTACAAAACACACAAGGAATTGTTACCACCAAACCTGCTACACAACTACTCTAAAAAGTAGCTACCAGTAGATGTTTACAAAGATAGGCTTTAAAACTACCATGGTTTTCTGTTTTATATCATTGTTCTGCACAAGCTAAGGCAAGGACTTTTATGATATGGCAAGGTCATGGACATTATATTTCCTTCAAGCATGTGCAACAGTTATGCAAGCATGTAAGGAAAAGTGAGATGAGGTATGACCACAGTAAATTCAAAAACATTTGCGATAATTGGATTGTTGAGATTCGAATGAATAAATGCAAATACTAAACTATGACCAACACACAGTATCAATACATTTATTAAACTGATTTCATCTTCAGTCAATCTAAGGATACAAACTTTGGTCATTGGCAAAAAAATTCATAGTCTAACTGGACTTATAATATGATAAGATGAATGATGTCCGTGTGTCATGTTTGGCCATCAACATTTTGGTTTCCAGACAATATCTTTTGAGCCATACACAATATCTTGAACCAACTTGGCTGGATAATGCCCCTATTGATTTTTGGGTCAGTAGGTCAAAAGTCAAAGTTACAGGTACTATAAATAGACTTAAATTTGGGGAAAGTTTCTTTTTGGGGGAAAATATCATTTAAACATATACAACCATCACCAAAAATTACCTTCAAATGACCTTTGACCAAACACAAAGAAACAACTCATGGTCCAGAAAGCTTGGTAGTTGAATGTTTACTGTGGCTGCTCACATTATTCTGACTTAACTGACCATTCATTGTTCTTACTTCTAAATCGTGTTTGCCTCATGGAGAAGCAGATACTAATTTCAAGGTTTTGGTTTTAACTATCCTGGGATCAAACCCGTAACCTCATGTACTCACTTCAAGCACACTACCATAAAAAAGACCAACAGGGTACTTCTGATTTCTTTATCAAAAGTTTAATGCTGATAAGGAAATTTATGAAACAAGGTTCTTTAATTGAAATTTAAAATTATCAATTTAAATTGTTTACTCCCCTTCACAACTAGTTTGTCCAATACAGGATCAAGTCACAGATTACAACAGATATATTCCTAAAATTGAGAATGGAAATGGGGAATGTGTCAAAGAGACAACAACCCGACCACAGAGCAGACAACAGCCGAAGGCCACCAATGGGTCTTCAATGCAGCGAGAAACTCCCGCACCCGGAGGCGTCCTTCAGCTGGCCCCTGAACAAATATGTATACTAGTTCAGTGATAATGGACGTCATACTAAACTCCAAATTATACACAAGAAACTAAAATTAAAAATGATACAAGACTAACAAAGGCCAGAGGCTCCTGACTTGGGACAGGCGCAAAAATGTGGCGGGGTTAAACATGTTTTTTGAGATCTCAACCCTCCCCCTATACCTCTAGCCAATGTAGAAAAAACAAACGTACAACAGTACGCACAGTAAAACTCAGTTTAAGAATAGTCCGAGTCCGATGTCAGAATAGGAAACAAAAGAAAATAAACAAAATGACAATAATACATAAATAACAACAGACTACTAGCAGTTACTGACATGCCAGCTCCAGACCTCAATTAAACTGATTGAAAGATTATGTCTTCATCATATGAATATCAGGCACAATCCCTCCTGTTAGGGGTTTAGTATTATACCGTCATAAAATATATGAGAAGAACATAACCCGTGTCATGCCAACAACTGGTTTTAGAATAAATATGTTTAATTCTGATGCAAAGACCCTATAAGTGAATCAATATTAAAGCCAAAATATGCAATCTTTAATGACCTGACAACAGTATCGTAACTATATCCCTTCTTAATAAGTCTGTTTAAAGGTTTTGTAGCTTTTGAGGTGAATACTGACATTTTTGTGCTTTGTAAAGAATATTACCATAAAAGATTGGATGTGAAATACCCGAACGTATAAGATGTCTGCATGTTGAGTTATATTTACGAATGACGTCCTTATACCGATAAAATTTAGTAAATGTTTTGACTAGTTTATGATATCGAAAACCCTGGTGTAATAATTTTTCAGTAATACATAAATTTCTCTCGCTAAAATCTAATATCTCTTTGTTATAAACACAATCATATTTCATTTTCCACCTTCATTATTCTCAGAATGGCCTATAATTTTCGTATGATTGTTTGTGAATATTTCTTTATTGTTTTTTCTTTAATTCTTTATATTTGTATTTTTTTTTATGATTTATAACCAAAATTTTTCAATAAATAATTTGGGTGCCAAATGTAGAGGTAGACATTGTTTCCTCTGTTTAAGTAGCGGCTGGAGTGTCCGAGTGGTCAAAGTAGTTTATCTACAGTGGTCACTAGCTTTTGCCTGTCAACACAGGTTGTGAGAACCCCCTCATTGTAAGGTGGATTTAAATCCAATCTTAATTGGCTAGAATTGATAGTTTTAATGAGAAAGGTATATGGTGATTCAGGTACTCTTGCTTCCTCTGGCAATAAAAACTGACTGCTATGATATAGTGTGCTGAAAGTGACAATTAACACCAACAATCAATCCTTATTCTGGAGGACACAAGCTTATTCAAGTTTAAGCAGGGTGCTATTATTCGTTTGTGTAATTCACTGCCATGAGTGATTTTAAACTTTATCAACCACAATCAACACCATTCACAATCGTGACTGAATTTTTTCAAATGAGATTTTAAACTGAGTCCCATTGTGTCATTTGTTCTATAGATTTGAATATCCTACACAAATATAACTAATAAATTATTTATTTCTAACAACAAGGTAACAGACAAACATTCAATTAAACAATCAAATATCACAATTTTAAGGAAAACGAGGCTCCACATGAACACCCTTGCTCAGCCTGTGGATTGTTTACTATAGCAAATGCACTCCTGATCAATTCTTCATGAAAATCTACAGTAGAACCACGAACAAATTCTAAAGAATCGTTGTCTATTGCTACTCTAACTCCATCTTTCTCTATTACACTGAAAATACAAATGGACATGTCATTAAATTATGTTTTTCCTCAAAATACTGTGGATTCATTATTATTCGTTGGATACCAATTTTCGTGGATTTCGTGGGTATCGGTGAACCACGAAATTAAAAGATCAACGAATGACAAATTTTCTAAAGGCTTGTATGAAGACATCGTCAAAACCACGAAATTAAATATCCACGAACACGCAAGTTTTCCTTCATCCACGAAAATTGGTACCCACGAAAATAAATGAATCCACAGTAAGAACAAAATAGTATAATGTACATGAACCTTTAATTTTCATCTATATACATTTCATTTATTCACTTACTTGCTTATAATATATTTTATCAGTAGTCAACTACAAATTTTCCTACATGACTTTTCATTCTCAATATGTGTACTTCAGTGTTATTGTGCAAAAGGAATGACGTCACACCATAAGAATAAACTACATTCCAAAATTTATATCTTTGTGTGCATCTTTCGAATCAAATTCGTAATTTATAAAAGAGATAATTCAATATCTTGAATTGGATTTGGACATGTATAAGTCAACACTTCAAAAATTATACCTCACCTAATTGACTACCATATGTATACCTCACTGAACTACCATATGTATACATAACTGAACTACCATATGTATACCTCACTGAACTACCATATGTATACCTCACTGAACTACCATATGTATACCTCACTGAACTACCATATGTATACCTCACTGAACTACCATATGTATACCTCACTGAACTACCACATGTATTTTTTTCCAGAAGACCATGAAGTCATTTTTAAACATTTGTGTATGCAACATAATACATGTAGTACATATATCTTTTGTAATGAGAAACAATGAATTTTATAAACATGATAAACAGAATAGTTTTTTAATTGCATTTTAATTGATATATGATACTTTCTTTTCCTTTTTGATAGAAAAAACGTTTTTTTTTTAGTGCTAGATATTTAGTTGGTAGATTCTGACAAGAGGACTAATATAATTGTGCAACTATAAATGACTATTTATTAAGACATAAACTGAAACAGCTGTTACTTTAATTGACTCCGGTATGAATTGAACACCTACATGTATATAAAAAAAGAAATAGGTTACATATGTTTCTTTATATTATAGTACAAAAACCAAACATTGAAGCATCGCGAGCGAACGAGCACTTCTCTTTCAAATCTTACCACTTCTCCCTACCAGTTTCAAAACGAGAAGTCACTGTCTATGATTTTGAAGTAGTGTGAGCCCTGATGTACCAGTTAAGGCTTAACATTTTCACTTTCAAAAAAATTTCACCAAACACTTTATTTTCATCTATTTTATATTCAATTTAAAAGATATCTTAAACAGCTCAGCTTTTGGCTTAGGAACTACCATATTACATTGAGTAACACCTCTCAAGGAGTAAGGAATATTATCTGATTTCAGTTTAAACTTTTAAACTAGGTACTTTGGTGCTTCCATATGCACACATTTATATCTAGAAGTAAATATTTGTGGTATTTAATTCTATTTTCAACTGTCATCCACCCAAGTTCTTTAAGTTAGGGGACTGAAGGGGATAAAGGATCTGTTTCTAAAATTAATCTTGCTGCCCTTTTTTGGAGTTTTAATATTCTTGTTATCCCTTCATTTTTACATTCTCCCCAAATAATACAACAGTAGTCGATTAGGGGCAGAATATACCCATTGTAATATGTTTTCCTAGCACTTATATCTACAAATTTTCAATGTTAAAATTAGCATAGAGCATCACATGAAATACTTATGACTTAATTAAAAATGTTAAAGTCTTTGTTTTGGTTGACAATTGCAGAGGGCAAACTAATGATTTTTATTTGTTAAAAAGAAGCATAACAGCACTAAGTTTATCTGAATGGGATGTTTACAATGACTTTTACCTGACTAAAGCCACAGAATTTCAATTTCCATGTGCATGAAATACATTTATTTATTCTACAGGTAATAATGATGCTATATATGCAAATGTTGGAATCATAAGTCTTAGACCTGCAGATTTTGAGCATTTTATGCAATTTACTTTATTAACTATAAACTTTGAACTTAAAAAGCTTACATATCATCTTTATCTACTTTTGTATCAAATTCAAACTTTGTCTGAAAACCAGAACAGCCACCACCTTCTACCACAACTCTTAGAAAAGTTCCATCATCATAACTGATTCTTTTCAATCTCTGTAAAAAAAAAGAATCAATTATATTTATTGCCAGAAAGGTTTGTTGAATAAAAAAGTTCAATCAGAAAACTGTGAAATCCTTTGTTCTATGGATGTAAGGAGCCTCAGTGGCTGAATGGTCTAAGTAGACATTTTCGAAAACTTATCGATACTGACGCTTACACCTATGCCTAGGACGACAGGTAACCTTTTTGAGAAGGGTCATCTCAAAGTGTACAATGATCACAGGCATTTATAAAATATTTATCTAATTTGCATTTTAAATACTGTATACAATTTGTTTTTCTCAATAATTTGTTAATCTATTAGCTCTGTTTTGAAGCTGAGAATTGACCGATCTTCACATTATACTTTGTAAAAAAGGGGGAGGCTTTGTGTAAATTAATAGAACTTTACATAGAAATTCGGATTCTACTTCGTCCAAATTATCTCTTCATTTTCCTTTTCAATATTGAAAATGATAGCCATTGTAGGGATGACGCGCTGTCAATTTAGCTCTTGAAAACTGGCATAATTATGATCCTTACACGGCAGTTGAATTCTAAAAGACAAATGTATCTACTGGCTATAAGGCATCATGTAATGTACTTTGAGGCCTTTCGTCAATTAAAACTGATTGGTTGTGAGGGGGAATTTTCGAAAACTCAAAAAACACTAAAAAACTCTATTTATGTATTTTGTAGAAGGGAAGACTAAACATTTGCAGAGGTTGAAGACTAAATACCCTAGATAACACTAAAAAAAAATTTTTTTAAGTTATGCATTTTAAAGATTCACTTTCAAGGTCAAGGGCTTTTAGTAAAAATTCAGGGGTATCACTATGATAGTGAACAGTGCATGTGTCCGACTTTTTTTCACTGAAAAATGAGTGAACGAAAGTAGAAAAAATACAAGTAATAAATACACATCCAGTTTAAACATTTGAAGTAGCAGGAAGCTTTTCTTTTGTTATTCAAACACACCTACTCAACTATTTTGGCACAAAAGAAAGGTATTTCACATGACCTATATATTTCATGTTTTGGTGGTCTGAATTTGTAATGTTATCATATCAAAATGTAGCCTAAATATATACAAATAAGGGATCTGAAGCGAGATGATGTAACACAGTTTTGCTTTATACGTTTTCTGGACAAAAAAGTCAAACCATACATGCTTGAACGTAACAAGTTGTACCCGATTTTCGCATTGATAAGATTTTCACTACAGAATAATGAATTTATATGTTTCTTACCTCTGCTGAGTCCGACTAAGTTTTACGAGGTTATTTATTCAGTATATTTTGACATTTTGATACAGTCCCTCTATTTTTTTAGTCAGTGTAGGTATCGGTGTCGGTATACGTGTCCGTGTAGATGACTTTTTCGAAAATGTCTAGTAGTCATACTACTAACTCACTAGCCTGTCAACACTGAGGTTGTTAGTTCGAATCCCGCAAGGGGCAGGTGTGCTCGACTCCAATCTTAATTGACTAGGATTGTCAGTTTTCCTATCATAGGTGCTCAGGTTTCCGCCACCAATAAAAACTGACCACCACAAAATAGCACAATAGTGTTGAAAGTGGCGTTAAACACCAAATAATCAATCAATTAATCTATAGATGTATGATAAACATTTTTATCCTGTTAAAAGACAAATAAAAAAGACAAATAAAAGCTGAAGATTTTCATGAAAAAAAAACACATTGTAGCAATGATATGAAACCAAATCAATAACTAACATTAATCACACTTTGACTTATAACTCATATCGCCAGGACTTTCGCTAATAATAACTTACATTAATCACACTTTGACTTATAACTCATATCGCCAGGACTTTGGCTAATAATAACTTACATTTAGTGCACTTTGACTTATAACTCATATCGCCAGGACTTTGGCTAATAATAACTTACATTTAGTGCACTTTAACTTATAACTCATATCGCAAGGACTTTGCTAATAATAACTTTCATTAAGTGCACTTTGAATCATAACTCATATCGACAGGACTTTGGCTAATAATAACTTATATTTAGTGCACTTTGACTCAGAACTCATATCGCCAGGACTTTGGCTAATAATAACTTACATTTAGTGAATTATCAAAGGCTCACATTTATTGGACTATTTTTACTAAACAAAAACTCACATTTATTGCACTACATGTATGTAATCAATAACTTACATTTATTGCACTTTGGCTAAGACGGAGGGCTTCACTGGATTGTTCACTCTCAACTTGTTCAGTCTCATTCTTAGTTGATGCATATCTTATTCCAGACAAATTTCTGAAAATAGAAAAATAGATGTTAATACTTTTATTCCATACTGGATTTTAACAGATTAGACAAAATTGAAAAAAATTCTCATTAAAATTTATTTTAAAACATTGAAAAGTTGAAGACATTTTTTCTAAAGTTTTAAGGTCCCAGGTTCCATTAATGGTAATTTTCTTATAAATACTAAGGTAGCCTCATGCATAATTTGCCACAAGTGTCAATTGGTTTTTGGTGAATCTCTTTAATTACCGTATATATATTTTGTACATTTGGTAAATGCTAGAGTTACCTAAATAACATACCTAACAGCTTTAATATATATGATATGAGTAATTATATAATAACATATTTTTAAAATTAGTAAATTTTAGTTTGTTCCAACCGTTTACAGAGAATTACACAACAAAAGTATGGTTTCCTGTAAGAGCTACAGATTAAGAGAGACCAGTGCAGCCACTACATTTTTAAATTTTTTTTTATTGTTTAATCAGTCTGCACAAAAATCTTTTCCAACTTCTAGTCTGAAGACCAATATTCTGACAATTTTCTTATGTGTCTAAAAGTTATGTTAATACTTAGTAGTCCGAATGAAATTTTACAAATCTTGGGCAGGGCACTAGTGGCTAATGATGCAGACTGTTTATTGTCATTTTTATTTGCAGAATTGATTATGTTGCAGTAAGAAAGAATAAATAAATGTATACTTGTCTCCCACTTCAATTGATAAAGAAAATGAGAAAATACCAGAAGTAAAACATGCAAAATCATTAAATCTATTTTCATTTTAACTTTCAAAGTAAAATGGGTGATGTTTACATATTCTTACAAAACAAAATCATGAACAAAGACATTTTCTCTGTAATTTTACTTGTTATTAATAAAGTGCCTGTACAAATCAACAAGCTAATATACAAATGAAGTCATTGAAGTACAGAGAAAGAATTTATGATTCATATTTAAATATTTATAAAAGAACAGAATTCCAATGTCCCCCGCGTTGCACATATTTTATCTTTCCAAGGTACAAGGGCAATAACTATAAAAAGCACTTTTTTGTTTGTTCCTTAAAACTTTTTATTAATATCTAAGAGAAATGAAGGCTTCAGTGCAAATGCAAGATGATTTCCATTATAATTAATATATCCAAGGGGCATAACTCGTTAACAATATTTGATCAGCACTTATTTTCGAAATTGTCAAAGACATTGCTGATATAAACCTATGATATAAGTTTCATAAAATTCTGGCAATAATTGTACACATGAGAACACTGAAAATGCAATTTTCCATATAATCAATATTTTCAAGGGGCATATTAAACTCTTTAAAAAATAATTGATCGGCACTGATTTTTGAACCCATCAAAGACATTGATATAAACCTATAATATAAATTTCATAAAAATCTGGCTAGAATTGTACACATTAGAGTGCTCATAAGGCAATTTTCCATATAATTAATATTTTCAAGGGGCATAACTCTTTTAAAATTTAATGATTGTCACTGATTTTTGAACTCGTCAAAGACATTGCTGATATAAACCTATGATATAAGTTTTATAAAAATCTGGCAAGAATTGTACACATGAGAGCGCTAACAATGCAATTTTCCATATAATTAATGTTTCCAAGGGACATAACTCTTTTAAAAATTAATGATCGGCACTGATTTTCGAGGTTGTCCAAGACATTGCTGATATAAACCTATGATATAAGTTTTATAAAAATCTGGCAAGAATTGAACACTAACAATGCAATTTTCCATATAATTAATGTTTCCAAGGGACATAACTCTTTTAAAAATTAATGATCAGCACTGGTTATGGAACTAGTCCAAGACATTGCTGATATAAACTTATGATATAAGTTTTATAAAAATCTGGCAAGAATTTTAGATGTGAGAGCGCTAACAAGACCGGACAGACGCCCGGTGTTTCTATGTTCCCCGTGCGGGGGACAAAAATTACACAATCATCATCTAACTAACATAGTAAATCGAAGTATTTTTAGGGGTTAAGCTTTGTTATACATCCTGGCCAAGTTTACTGAGGTAATAAGTTTGTTAAACTGAGCCTAGTTATCACAGAACCAAGAGATACATGTAGTCACTGAAAACTTACATTGATATCAGTGTGGATTAATTGATTGTTGCTGTCTTATTATGTCCAGTGGCATACATAATATTCAGGACGTCACAGATACCAATGTGAAAATGAATGCCATGTTTTTACTTTCATTCATATTGTAAAATGATAGTTTTATTGTTTTCACATTGATTCACATACAAGTATTTTCTTCATAAAATTTAAGTGAATATGCTAGTCAAAGATTATTTTACATAATAATTAATATCAGAGACATATATACACATATATGTCTCTGATAATACTGAACATATTTTAGAAACATTTGAGAAAATCAGCTGTAAGTTTTAACTAGGATGTAAGATTAGGTATGGCAAACCAATGAGAGATAACTCCAAATTACCTTAAATAATTGTTCCCAGATGTGTGTAAAAATAAAATCTTTGGGTGACCTCCGATTACGGCCTTCTATTAACTTGTTAAGTCTCAGAAGGTTCTGATTGCTTTTGATAGATATCTTATGAATATTCATGATTCTGTATAATTTTATTATGATTTTCGGGAATACGATGAAATATTTGAGGTACAAACAAGGATTTGAAAGTTACATTCGTTTCAAAAAAATACAAGGGAATGTTATACAGCCATAACATGTACTTTTTTATTAAGTTTAATATATCAATTAAATAATTAGGTCCAATAAATAAATCTAGATAGCTGTGTTCAAATCAAAATTAATTTTTATAAATAACCCTCCTTTTTGTGTATACATAGTTATTTCCCTTCAATGGACAACTTTTGGTTTAGTTTTGATTGGAAATCAGCGTGATAGTTTTTTTTTTGGCATTATACAGCCAGTTTATTGCGATTTAAAGATAGTTTAACCATTTGCCATTGCACACGAGATAGTAAGGATACTGAATAATGTGGTTTAACAACAATCAATATATGTATTTTCAACATGTTCATCTAAAAACATACATAGGAATCCATGCAGTAGCGACAGTTCACTTTGTCTGCTATTCACAGTTAAGGTTTTAGAAAAAAAACCAACATGGCAATTCATTCCCTTGTCATCAATTCTCCCCTGTCTTCCATCCCATATTGATACAAGTAGATTCCCCTACCCCCTTTCCCTGACTGCCACTTTCCAAGTTGAAAGTTATATTAATTATTATACAAATACTATTTGTCTTAGAATAATTAATTTAACTTTCAAAATAATATTAATATGACCCTATTTTTCAGACTGTATTTAACAGTAAACTCTAAAGATATTATTTTTTTTATACATTTTTGTGTGTGTGTGTGTGTGTGTGATCACATTAGGGAGCTACCTTTTGATTTTTAGGGGGGGGGGGGGGGGGGGGGGCTAGGATAAAATTTGAAAAAAAAGGCAGGACAGGAGTTTTGAGTAAAAAAAAAGGCAGGATGAGCAACTTGGCAAAAATAAAAGGCAGGATGACAATTTATGTAAAAAAAGTCAGGATAAACTAATAAAAACTAGAGGCTCTCAAGAGCCTGTGTCGCTCACCTGTATTTACTGATGCTTTGGAAATCATGTAAAATAAGGTTAAAATCATAATTAATAGTATTAGATATTAGATATTATAATGATATCTAAGATAATAACAAAAAACTGCAAAATTTTTGTAAAATTACTAACTCAGGGGCAGCAACCCAACAACAGGTTGTGGGATTCATCTGAAAATTTCAGGGCAGATAAATCTAAATCTGATGAACATTTTTGCCACCTGTCAGATTTGCTCTAAAAGCTTTAGTTTCACAGATATAAACCAAAAACTGCATTTTACCCCTATGTTCTATTTTTAACCAAGTCGCCCATGATGGTTGGAAGGCGGGGTCATCGGACAAATTTTTTAAACTAGATACCCTAATAATGATTATGGCCAAGTATGGTTAAATTTGTCTCAGTAGTTTCAGAGAAGAAGATTTTTGTAAGAGATTACAAAAATTTACAAAAAATTGTTAAAAATTGACTATTAAGGGCAATAACTCCTAAAGGGGTCGACTGACAATTTTGGTCATGACAACTTATTTGTAGATCTTACTTTGCAGAACATTATTGCTGTTTACAGTTTATCTCTATCTATAATAATATTCAAGATAATAACCAAAAACTGCAAAATTTCCTTAAAATTAACAATTCAGGGGCAGCAACCCAACAACAGGTTGTCAGATTTGTCTGAAAATTTCAAGGCAGATAGATCTTGACCTGATAATCAGTTTTACCCTATGTCAGATTTACTCTAAATACTTTGGTTTCAGAGATATAAGCCAAAATCTACATTTTACCCCTATGTTCTATTTTTAGCCATGGCGGCCATCTTGGTTGGTTGGCGGGGTCATCGGACACATTTTTAAACTAGATACTTAAATGATGATTGTGTTTAAGTTTGGGTGCATTTGGCCCAGTAGTTTCAGAGGAGAAGATTTTTGTAAAAGTTTACGGACGATGGACGACGGACGCAGGACGACGGATGCAAAGTGATGAGAAAAGCTCACTTGACCTTTCAGGTCAGGTGAGCTAAAAACTGCAAAATTTCCTTAAAATTACCAATTCAGGGGCAGCAACCCAACAACAGGTTGTCAAATTTGTCTGAAAATTTCAGGGCAGATAGATCTTGACCTGATAATCAGTTTTACCCTATGTCAGATTTACTCTAAATGCTTTGGTTTCAGAGATATAAGCCAAAATCTACATTTTACCCCTATGTTCTATTTTTAGCCATGTTGGCCATCTTGGTTGGTTGGCGGGGTCATCGGACACATTTTTTCAACTAAAATACCCTAATGATGATTGTGGCCAAGTTTGGTTAAATTTGGCCCAGTGGTTTCAGAGGAGAAGATTTTTGTAAAAAGCTAACGACGACGGACGACGACGACGACGGAAGACAGATGACGG